GGCAGCTGCCGTGTGTCATCCCTCCCACGATCGCAGCTCATTGCACAACCCCCAGCTCCGCCCCGCCCTGGCCCTGCACGCCGCTCTTGACACAGATTCGCGCAGCGTCATGTGCACTTACTGCAGGGGGTCTGCACGGTCCCCCTTTGACCTTTGTGACCTCGGCGGCCATGAGATGTCCACCGGTCTGACCCGCCCGCAGGCAGAGGTCACCGTTTGACCTCTGTGACCTCCCGGTCCGGCCGTGAACTGTCCGACGGACCGACCTACCATCGTGAACCGGGACCCGCATAGTGCTCCGTGCTGACCTGGGGCCCTCAGTGGATGTCCTTGCCGCCGCGGTGCTCCCTGTTTGGTGTGCGCCCTCCACCGTCCCACGCTGGGCTGACTATTCTCGGGCTAATCCACTAGTTAGCAGTCCGATCCAGGTCCGAAGGCACCCGCGGCAGACCAGCCTGCGTAGTAAATACCTGTTCAGTGTTCAGCTTCATGACCCGGACGCGCCCGATCGAAAGGACATGACGTGACCTTGCAGTGCTGGTCAGGCGGGGTGACACAAGGAACGCGTACAGATAACCTCAGCACCTATGGTCAACGCCGTATGCATGCTTGTAATGCATTGATGTTCAGCTGCCGTTCTTTAATGCATACCATAGATCGGTAGCTAAGGTAATGCAAAAACGACCATTTTGCTTTTTCATGTCGATAGCCAGTTTTAACGATGGGCGAAAAAGGAGTTACAGTCATATTTTAAAGCATGTCGGATCGGTAAGTGCACAGAATAATACGGCACGAGACGAGCAACAAGAATGGATAGAAAGCGGGCGGTATCGGTTTCCACTCGGTCAGCAGCGGCGGAACATCCTATAGGTACCTTAACCCGCGCCCCGTAGGGCTACCGGCGGACCCTACCACCCGTAGGGGGGGGGGGGGCCGTTTCGGCCCCCCCTAAGATCTCGGAAAGTTACCAGCCGATTTTCAAAATTCAAACGGCGTTCGATAGCCCCACCCGGGAACTACCTTGTGACCAAATTTCATTGACCTAGGTCAAACCGATGACGTCACAGGTCAGGTCAAAGGTCAGATTTTCACCGTTCACAGGCAATTCAAGAAATGTGCTGTGAAAGCGAGTAAATTGGTAATTTATTGAAAACCATCGATGGTACATTGTTCGTCAAACACATACTTTGCTATCTGAGGTCACTGATACCAGGTCAGGTCACAGCGAGGTCAGGTCACCGGGGGTCACAATATGAATGTGTCGTGTGATACATGTTTTATGGTCCATTTTACATGACAAATGCGATTATGTGGGTTAGGCAGCCTTTGGGGCCAGCCTAGGTCACGTTTTTGTGAAGGTCAGGTCAAGGTCAGGTCAAATTAGGTCAAATTTCAAAGTTGATATTTTTGCATAAAATGGGTATCGATTCGATGCAGCTCGTCACGGGGAGTCTAATGATGGTCTTCGTTTTGCTCTACGAGTTCTAGAATTGCCAAAAATTGAGTTTGAAAATTTGACGTCATCATTTTTGAACAGTTTTTTCGCTATAACTTGGCCAAAAAACGAGGCATCGATCTGAAATTTGGTATGTAGATAGAAGACGGTAGGCACTATCACATATATTCCGGTTTTTTCGAAACTCAAAAAACTTTTTGGATTTTTTGGCGAATATATCCAAAAAAATGCTTTTTTGATTTTTGGGGGTCAAAACTCAAAAATTTCAAAAATTCGAGATAGCAGTTTTGTAGCCCTGTCAATTCTACACCTTTTATGTCTTGATCATTTTTCTGTATCTTCAAAGCTGTAGTCCTGACAGGTCTTCTCGCGAAGGTCTTTTTTCGGTTGAAAATGACAGAACATGACGTCACTCTGACGTCATTTGTGGCCAACCTATCATAGCCTCTGGAAAAATTTTCGGTCACAATGTGTAAAATTGATGCCCGGAGGGGTCCTGAAAGTTTGGTGGCGATATCTCCAGCCGTTTAGGAGATATCGACCGAAAAGGACAGGGGGGGCCGTTTCGGCCCCCCCCCACGGGGCGCGGGTTAAGAACATCTTCAATTAAAGGCGCACCGCCGACTTTTGGTCCCATTCTTTCCATGCAACGCCCATAGGGCTAATGTTAAAATGGCAAAATCAAGGGGGGCACGGTGCCCCGGTGCTCCCCCCGTTCCGCTGCCTATGCTCAAGGTACTCCCCAGTCCCCATTCCACCCCCATCACGATCATTCCACGGTCCCACTCAAGGCTCTCTGCCTTCCTCTGCGCTCTCCACTCGTCTCCGCTGACCGCTGAGACTATCCGGTTCCGGCGGTCTGCGGTTTCGCCAGCTGTGTTCGGCGGGTCCTGCGGTGACCACCACACGGTCTGTGAGCTCCCAGTCTGCCGCCACCATCTCACGAGCGCGGCTGGTGAACCGGTCCCGCCACCGAGACATGCATAAGAAAAGAACTCCGCATCAGTAGCGGATCCCAGCAGCATAGGTTTCAGTGTCAGCAGCGACGAGGTTCGAGCAGCAGGTCTGAGTATCGCGGCCGGTCTCAGCCAGGCCAGCACGGTGTCAAACGTATGCCTCAACAGCAAGGCTTCAGCAATGGAAATCATCCAGGGTCTCAGCAAGCAGGCCTAATCAGCAGCCAGAGCCAAGCCAAATCTTCATATATGAGGCATTTCCATCTGTTTTTGTTTGGCTCGGCACGGTCTACATACTGACCTGGAAGTAGCGCTGGCCGGCGCCGCTGACGTTTACAGCCGAGTCTTGCCGGTGGATTGCCAAACAGCGTCTACCTACACGGGTCACCGCGCCAGTCGTGCTGCTCGGTCTCTGTTGGGGATTGGATATGGACGGACTGTGTCCAGTCGTGCTACTTTTGGATGCCAGTGAGCAGCAGTTTTAAGTGGTTTTAAGTGCACCTTGCAAAATGAAATGAACGTTTTACGTTTATTGTATAGCTCGTCCACAGTTCACGGTGGCTTTTAGAGTGACATTTGTGATTTGATCGTCTGTTGTATGTGATTTTAGGATTTAAAATTAGTTACAATAGGAATAATACATTCTAAGACATTTTAAAAATAAAAGTTCCATCATTTTACTGAGGCAGGCAGGCTCTGAAGGTTCAGAAAACCGGTGCGTCGGTCTCCATCCAGTTGCGCGGGACAGTCCGTAGCTATACCGCCGTTCCACTCGCAGGGAGCCGGGACATCATTCTCCTGACAGTCACCCGCTGGTGTCGAACGGGTGTTTGACACGCCACGCCACGCGCCATCAATCCGCTAATAGGCTGGTAATTATCATGGGACAGAGTTCTTCAGAACTAAAATGTTTTACTCTCCTGTCCCGGGTGGATGAACTCTGTAGGTACAGGATGGCTCTCTGGCCGACCATGGCCATGAGAACCATGGGAATTAGGCGTATATGTAAAGGCATTCACAGCCCACAATATGTGCTTTACGTGCCTATGGGTACTGGGTAGCCTACCTATGGTAGGTGTTCGGCACATGAGGTGTGTATAATGAACGTTCGCCAATATAATTGTAAAAGTTAGCTTGTCATGGGTCAGATAGGGTAACTTATCAGAGCAAGTCGTCCCGCTGAATTAAAACGGCTCATCATAAGAATTAAGGTATAAGCGGTACCTGTGGCTAAAAGGGGGCACGGTGCCCCGCCCCCCCCCCCCCGTTCCGCCGCCTATGATTCCAGCACCAGGCCCGAGGTCAAACGATTGCGGGCCAGTCATCTCATTCCTAGCTAAAGGCTAAAGTCTCAAGAGAGCCGAAAGCGGGCCAGACCCTCCATGTCTCAAAGTCAATGTTTTGGAGACGTGAAAAACACAGTCGCCGCTGCTCGACGACCATTCAGGCGGAAGGCAGGCCGGTGAACAGTGAAAGCCGCCGAGTAAATTATCAGATTGGAATGCGCTGGCGCCCGGCCGGCCCGTGCTGCCAACGTATTGGGACCACCAGGTCAGGCTACGACCTTGGGTGGGGCCGGCACCATGGGAGCTGCACCGGCCTGCATCGCCCAACACACCGGGAAAGGCATGCACGTGTGCGGCCGCTGTCAGAGCGCCGCTCCCTGTGAGATGAACGTGACCCGCCGCGTGTGGCCGTCTCTCACGAGAGGGAGGCCACAGCCCCGCGCGAGCGAAGGAGACGCATGCCCGTGTGTGGGAGAATCCTGCTCGATTTTCGGGACGGCGCGTACGCTGAAAGGAAGACAGATGGACGGTTTAATCGACTGCCTCTGAGCGGAAAGTGCCCGGTCAGCGGTGCCTCATCTGAGCGTTTCAGAGCGCGCCGGCGGGTCACCGGGCGGCGCACCCCGCGGGACGCTTCACACGCGCCGGCTATGAAGCCATCACACGGACGGCCGACCTGTGTCGACGCCGCCGGTTACACCATCGATTTCCTGACGCGGCGCGCCGGCCTGAGATGGTATCTGAACGGGTGCTGCAACGCCGCCGCACTCGGCGCCCGCGGGCTCGTGCAAAAGCCGCCCGGGTCACGGGGGCGGCACGGAGCCGTCCGCCGGGTCACGGCAGGTCAGCTGGGGTCAGGGGGCAGTCGCGCCCGGCCCGAGGGTGACGATCGGTCTGATAGAGCAGCCTGGCGAAGGCCGTCCGCCGGGAGTATCACAATTCCCAAATGTCCGCCTGTCGCCAGTGTTGTAACTGCGCGTGTAGAATCACCGACTGCGCGCAGCTCCCGTCCGGCGCGGGATGACACTCAAGTGTAGGGTACGGGCAGCGGCGTGGCGCAACCAGATACACACGCGATGGGGATGGGATCGCGTGAGGCGCCGTCATAAAGGCGGACGCCTGATAAATCGACAGCGTTGTTGAATTATACAATCGCCGTTAAACGGTTTTACGCTACGCACGTAAACTACGATCGCAGTAAAGATGAGCATGAACGTGATTGAATTGATTTAGTCTCACGAAAATCGTTCAACCTCATAATAAAGATACGCCCCGGTATTAATAGCCGCTATCAAACGCACATTTCGTGTTGCCTGATATACTTTATTAACATATTCTGCTCAGCATATTCCGTACATATATTTTCGAGATTATCATGGGCGCGACTAGCCGGAACACAAGTTCGCACTAATTGACCACAAGTATACATAAACTACAGCACCGACAGACTATGGCAGCAGAGCCATGAGGGGAATGTTGTAGAACCACATCACACACTCGAAACTCTGCTCTGCTACCAGACGACAGATCCAAGCCAAAGATTCAAAGTTTCGAGAGCAGATCCAGCGTGCGAGCGCTGCAGATCGATAGAGAACAGATCTAAGCATAGAGTCGCGCGCAGACCTCGCTGAGACGGCAGTGTCGGCCGGCCGCCCCGGCTCGGTGGACGCCGGGCGGGGGCGGCCGGCCGGCGGCCCGGCCCTGGCCAGCGGGGGGTGGAGCGGAGCGGGAGCGCCCGTCAGCCGGGCCGGGCCGGCCGACTGTGGCCGGCGCTCGGCCGCAGCGGGCTGCGCGGCTGCCGCCGGCGGCGACGGCGCCTGGTCAGCCGCCCCGACCTCTAGGCGCCCAGTTTCTCGGGGCGGGCGTTTGGGTGCATCTCCGGCTTGATGTTGTACACCAATGACAGCAGCTGCTGCACCACCTGAAACACGGAGACGGTCACAATACAAGCAAACCCTCGAAATAAGAACAATCACTGTTTTTGACTTAACTTCGCCATGCAGAAATATATGTGGATAAAATTGTCTACTACAACATTGTGGGAATTAGTACACGTAAATACATTTCACAAAAAAAAAACGGTCAGCAATCGTGAAATAACAGGGTGCAATAATTGGTAGAAGGACAACGATCTGTTATTGCTAACAGCTTGCACTCCGCTACACAAAACAATAAACATACCCCTTCCTTGTTGTTTCCAACGAGGATGTCCATCTCGTGGAGTTTCCTCCTGGTCTCCAGGTCAATCTGAGCTGCCATCTTATCCTTGTCTCCCAGGGTCTGGTGGAGCGACATAAAGCACAGTAGAAATTACGTCGAAATTCGTCGAATGATGTGAAATTACGTCGGGAAATTTGACGTCGGCGTTATACGGAATCCCAAACATCACTACAAAACTGACACTAATGATGTTCACAGCGAAGGTAACTTCGCCGACAGCACGGTCCGAATGAGGCGACGCCACCTACGCCAGCCTGCACCTTGAAGCGCCCTCTGCCGCGGCTCGTAACACGGACACATTGTCGGCGACTCGGCGTCTATATGATAAATGACATTTCCCATGATGTATTGTTCGGAACTACGCACGATGTGATTTATCAAAAAGCCACTAAATAAGTAAAATAGTTGTCAACAAACATGATCTCATTAACTATTGAAAACTTAGACTGAGTACTACGGATTATTAGTTATCACCCCGAGGAATGGTGTAATAAGAGAAGAACGGCCAGACTACCTACCGTATGCGTAGTTGACAACGCTACTGAAAACGTTCAGGGCACACAATATTATTACTCACCGCCGATTCTACGGCCCTGAAGTTAGCATCCTTTTCCTTGTGGATGCGCTCAATTTCAGCCTGTGCCTCCTCCTTGGCTTGTTTCAGGCGGCGCTGCTTCCCTGTTGGTCAAAGTGAAGAATAGTAATGTTGGGACCATTTTACACCCTGAATTTAGCATGCTGTCCAAAGGCAAAAGACTCACTCTCTGATAACTATTGAAGCCTGTTTGTTGTTGCAGGTCCTGAAATGCTGATTATGACATCTCAAACCATTTTCCAAAGTCCTAAGCTTCACCTAAATATTGTTTTGGTATAGGTACTTCAGTGACATACAAAGCAGAGCCATCAATCTAAATAGTTGTTCACTTACTTTTCCTTGCCTCTGCAACCTTCTCAGATGCTTTCTTCTCTGCCTGGAGAAGGTGCTGAATTCCCTGATTATTCTGAGCCATTTTCACTTTGAATATACCTGAAAATAAATAGAATGATGTGATAATAATATTGTTTGATATTTTTTAATTTCTTTTCACTGTCATATCAAAAAGATAAGAAGGGGTGTGGACTAAAAGCACTTGGCAGAATGGGAAAGGACACTGGGTAGAGCAAACAAATTGGCTAAGCTCCTTCATAGATGAAATGCATCAATATACTTCATGCATTTCCATCCCTTTAATGTATCTGCCTAAAAATGTGTACTTCAATGCTGTTAGTCCAGGAATTCATTAATATGCATCTACTATGAATCTATTTAAAAATCTTCTAACTCTGATTAAGTTACTGCACAGCAAAGCAGAGGTCTGTAGCCATGCCCAGCAAATCAGACCTTGCAATATGCATCACAAGGAATTGAAATCTACATTTTAACTTCTTTGAGTTAAGTATATAGAAAGAAAAAATGTTATATTGGCCTGATTTCTCAACTCACTGGGTAGACCAGCATAAGCATTCTCTCATTAATCACTATCTGGTGCAGTGCCTGGCACTGTATTAAATAAAGGCCCACACAAAGCATAATCAGCACTACACACCAGTAATATACAATACTGAACGAGGCCGGTGTAAATAAATTTTCAAGACCGAGGTCCTTACTGAATTTTTGAACGAGGCCGAAGGCCGAGTTCAAAAATCAGTAAGGACTGAGGTCTTGAAAATTTATCACCGGCCGAGTTTGGTATGTATTTTACTGTATGCCAACAATAAAATTATTGTCTAGACCGAAGCTCTTAGCCATTTTTTGAACGAGGCCATCCCAAAATGTTGACTTGGTAATTCGTTTTTGACCGTGGTCACTTTGCTTACACCAGTTATTACCACACCCCTCAGGCTAATGTATTTGAATAGGCCAGGCATACAGTAAATTAGGCATATCATCTATGTCTAAAAATATTTTTTCTTATAGGCATATCAGCTATGGTCATATATAATACTATTGCCTTATCAATGCCATATGATGTCACTTTCATGATGATTTCCATCACATTCATGATTGGTTAGGATAAGAATAATGTCTTTAAGTTATTTAGCATGAAGAAGCAGATTTAGCCTGTAGGAAATGTGTCGTTAGAAACATAAAGGTCCAGGCCTTCACCCATATTATATCTTATTTGTCATAGACATGATCATACCTTGAAGAGCATTTTTTAAAAGCTACGCTGACACTCAGTCCGAGAGCATATCAGTCCCACGCACAAGGGGGAAAAGCTCAAATTATTGAGCGCTCAAAAAATTGAGCGGGCCCCATTATGAAGGAATAGGCGAAACGATGGTATTTTACAATGCCTCTAGCGTCACACTACGGCCAATATCGTATCCAACTAAGGTATCAATGGCAAGAGAGAGCAACAAGGTTTCTTCTCGAACACTCGCCGTGATAATTTATATCGGTGTTTTTGGAAAGAAAATGCCCTAAAGACGCTCAACTTTTTGAGCGCCACTTGTCGTTCGGGACCGCGATACTCAATAAATTGAGCGCCACGACAGACGACAGTCAGCTGGCGCTCAAAAAATTGAGTGCCGGCCAGCATCTACACTCAATTTATTGAGCCTTCTCCGTGACAGGTGAAGCCGGTACTGGCTGCCATTTTTGATGTTATATTCGTTGAAATACGTTAAACTGAGTTGAAACAGAAATGCAGGAAGTTGAATGCTACGTGGTACCTAAACTTTTCACAAACCCATTGCATCATGTCACATTTTCCGCTAGTAGTTTTATCGGTCGCCTTTCGGATTCGGCACACCTCAAATAATTATACAGGGCTTGAATAATCCGTATGAATACTGTATTGATATTTTCTGACTACTGGGAGAAGGGAATACGTGATTACAGAAAGATATCCAATTCCACCCACGCTTGAATATTGGAGAATTATACAGGAAAAACTGTATTGCCACGGTTACAACTTACAAGGCCAGCAGGGCTGCGGAGTCGGAGTCGGAGTCGGAGTCGGAGTCGGTCGGAGTCGACAGTTGTGACCGGAGTCGGAGTCGGAGTCGGAGTCGATTTTAGAAACCCGAGCCGGAGTCGGAGTCGGAGTCACCGAAAATCTGTCGACTCCGCAGCCCTGCTAGGTCTGCGGAGTCGGAGTCGGGAGTTGGAGTCGGTCGGAGTCGACAATTCTGCCCGGAGTCGGAGTCGGAGTCGGAGCTGGTTTTTGAAAGCCGGAGTCGGAGTCGGAGTCGGAGTCGCCGAAAATCCATCGACTCCGCAGCCCTGCTGCAAACAAACAAAAATACTATACAATGTGGGTTAGATTCACAAACATCATCAAGTGTGGAACACAGAGACGAGCAAAACAACATCACATTATCGCATGCCAGCCCGACCACATTGGAACCGGGTGACCTGCGACCGGAACCTGCGTCTTGCCAGCATACATCACAAAAGCAGGAGGCAGTGTCGTACTGCTTTGATCCAAAATATGCCATATAACAAATGATATAAACGACCTAAGCTCGGACTAAGCTTATCATTATCAAATCCTTAACATGTAAAAGACGAATGGAAACATCGAGTCTCAGACCAGGAGTAGCAACCATCACAGTAGCAACATCACAAAGAACACGCGGCATTATCAGACAGCCGTTTTGTTATCGGGCTACAGGCGGCGACGGCGTGGTTGCAGACCAGCTGCGAGGTAGCGGCGTGCGGGCAAAAGGCGCGGGCACACCTCCATGTGGCCGTGCGGACAGTGCGCGGTCGACGTCGCATAGTGGGCGGCATCGGGCTGTCCCGGGGCCGTCGAAGCCGCACAGGTTGTCGGCGCATGTGGGCGCGCGCGGTCACCACGGCCAGCTGCTCACCACCAGCACAGACTGCGCAGCGTCGCCGCTCCGCCGGCCAGAACACGCAGACAACCCTTCTTGCAGTCGCACAACACGTCGCCAAACTCATTCACCTGCCCCACCATGTTGTTGATGTCACCGAGTCGTTCAAGTTGTGGCTCGTGCCGTCGAGCATGACCTGCCCGATCGGACACGGGTCAGCGGCTTCTGCTCCAGCGAAGTCTTCATCTTGGTGACGTCTTGCTGATCTCCACGAAGGCTGAGCAGATGACCTTACCCACAGGGACGGCCGACGTCCTCGCCAGCGACCGCTTGGTTGTGCAGGCCTGCCAGAAAAAGAAAAGCTGTTTGGTGATCTCAAACGATTTTTTTTCTTTATGCAGTGGAACAAAATGGAAAATATGTCATACAACAGGAACTAAAAAAAGATGCAGCCTAGGTCGTCTAAGAAATGGGTGCAACATTGATAAAATTCTTCCTTGAATGAATTCTACAAATGCTTTTGATAAAATGTGTGGTGATTATAAGGAGACCACTGTACTATAAAATTGCTCAGGATTCCCTATCTGGACCTGTCAAAAAATCCTGACTGCACACCAACAATGAGCATTAAATCCAAAACCTCTACCAGGTACCTAGGGATAATTAAATTCTGATTCAGGCAGGGATGCGGAGCCGTGGAAATTTCAGACGGCTCCGGCTCCGGCTCCGGCTCCGGAGAAAAAAATCGGCTCCGGCTCCGGCTCCGGCTCCGGGTGAAAAGTTATGGCGGCTCCGGCTCCGGCTCCGGCTCCGAGTAAAATGGTCCGGCTCCGGCGGCTCCGGCTCCGACTCAGTACATCCCCTACGCAATCAATTAAATACGGGTGGAAGAAAAATTGGATTGGTTATACGCGTTACTCTTTGTCATGACCGGCTCACCGCGTCCCCGCGCAAACGCACCTCGGAGAGAACTGGCAGAACAAAGGGCTAGGAAGCGATGGCATTGGAAACGCAGTCGCCGCGAATCGGAGTTCAGTGAACCATCGTAAGCTGACATCCGTCTCGGCTGCATTGGGGGGGGGGGGGGGGTGAGGGGTGGGGTGTGTGTGGGATGAGACGGTGCTGGGAGTCGCAGTCCACTGCACTGGTTTGAAAACAATGGCCGTCACCTGACGACTGGTCCTCATGTTCTGGGGATGCAGTAGACGTGGGGGGGGGGGGGGGGGGGGGCAGGAGAGCAAACAGGAAGTTGTTTGCGTACTGTGGGATACTGGGGATATTCGGATTTTTTCATTCACTTGATGGCCCATGACGTAAGTACCATATGTTTTGCCTTGTACTGTCAAACCGAACTAGGTCAATTATTTTTTTTCCTCTTCAAAAAATAAAAAGGAGCCGGAGTCGCCCCCTTTTTTGGCGGCTCCGGCTCCGGCTCCGGGCTATATTGTTTCACGGCTCCGGCTCCGGCTCCGGCTCCGGGCAAAATATGCCGGCTCCGGCGGCTCCGGCTCCGACTCCGGCTCCGGCTCCGCATCCCTGGATTCAGGAAAATATTTCACATCATACAAATAAAAACCTTTACTATATTGAAACTGAAAATGTGATGCCGATCCAGTGACCTAAGGGTCTCAAAGTATAATAATGAATTAATCTATTATAAATTTGGTGGTGACTGCCAACTGGCATCTGGCAGCCTAGACCTTGAGGCTTGAAAGTGGCCTTCCTTTTCCGTTGACTCCGATCCTCCAGATGGAAATGATATAAAGGATCATTTTTATCTTATTTCAAATGAGCCAGTCAGCAAAGTGGCTATCCTGTTTCAGCATTCACACACACAATAGTTGACTGTCAGTCTGCCATGCTGTCAGTGTTGTGAAGTAACGAAGGAGTTGAGTTTTGTTGATTATAAATTGTGATGTTATGTAAAGGACTGGAAAATGAATGTGAAAACTATGGAAACATATTGGCAGAGTATTGTCACTTACTATCAGGACATATGGATAGAGAATACATTCAAATTAATAAGAAATGCCAAATATCAAGGTACTCAATCACTGATAGCAGTGGACTATCATATGTTTTAATGTCAATTATATGAAAGTTAAGACTGAAACTACCTTTTACTGCATCATACCTAATGAAAAATTGTGTGAAGAAAACATTCACAGCCTCTTTGAAGCACTTAGACCACTAAAAAACAAAAATTTTCACGTAAATATGTTGTGTCTCTTTCCCTCAAAACATCATATCGGATGGCGCCACTTTCGTCGACAGTTACTTATCTGCACGCAAATCGAGGAAAACGTGAATTGATTGACGTTTACGTGTTTCCAAATTTAAAATCACAGCATATTCAAACCTTTCAGTGTACCTTTTAACATCTAAATATAACTAAAACGATAAAAACTTACCTTCAACACAAGGACGACGACAACCACGCGACCGGAGACGTCGCGACGAAATAAACAAACGGCGCCGCCAAATGAAAAATATTCTCCGATATGGGTGATGTGAAATTGAGTCGCAATCATTTTGGGTAGTATGAAAAATGCTCTTTCAAACAGAACCCTAGTAAAAAACGTGAATGGACAAAAAATAACTTTTATTTCGACATAAATATTGGCCTGTTTTTAAGGCATCCTGGTATGCTGTAAGATTTCGACCTAGAAATTGGTGTTCCCCCAATCATTGAACCTTGAGCAGTGAAAAATATGAAAGCCTAATCTGTTTTGCATCATTAGTGAATCTCCTAGGGTGTTGCCATTTCTCCCTAGGTGTTGCGAGTTGCTTTTGCAAAACGTGTTCCTGAAACGGCTCAATTTTTTGAGCCCTCAGCATTACGCCTATGGGAGCCTCTGACGTCACACGCTCAATATTTTGAGCGCTCAATAATTTGAGCTTTTCCCCCTTGTGCGTGGGACTGATATCGTCTGTCAAGTACCTACCTAAGAGACAGACGCTGATAACTGAAGTGTTCTGTGTCTTTATATCTATGGTTCTGCTACTGACAAATATCTTAGGATCCAGAGGTCAAGTGGCATTCACAAAATTCGTGCCCACCTAGCTTACACGTACACCTAAGCATCAGAGGACATGTCAATATTGGATAGGTAATATAAGCGATTCTGAACATCGACGTTCGTAAAATCCGTTTATACTTAATTTTAGGTATGTTTCTTAAAGCTTGTCCACTTATAGGATAAGAATAATCGCGATAAACACTCACAGCGGCCACAGATATCCAGAGATCACAAAACAAACGAAGCGAACGAAACAATCGTCGGTGTTTCAGACTAAATATTGGTAGCAAATTTCCTACTATCCTTAGTAGAGAACTCACAAAAGTGCTAGTACTAAATTCACACAGCAATTGTTCATAGGTATCACAATTTATTCTCATCCTAAAATGTTTTGGAAAGGCCTTTTGAGTGTTTAGGAAAAGTTAGGATGGAATTGCTTTTGAGAATCATGAATAAAAACCGTAAAAACCTAAGTTAAATATATAGTTTTAGTATGTTTTCCCTAGTATAAGAACTGTGCGCCAGAATCGTAATTTTAGTCACATGACAGCAGACAAAAGTTTCACGTGAGTGAATATCGTGAATATTTACTCATAAATCCGAGTTAAAAACCTGTCGTAGAAAATAATTATTTTAGTTATCGGTCATGCATTCTATTTTAATAATTTTAATATGTAAAGAAACCTTCAATCAATGAACAATGAACGGAGCAATTTATTCAATAGCCTGTAGGAAATCCGTTACTAAATCGTGAACAGGCGTAAATAGTGTTATCTGGCGGAAGTCGCATCCTGTATCATTGTGTTACATTTTGTTATTTGTATTTGATGATTTGATCATTATATGGCATTGGGTTACGATTTGTGGTAAGAAGTATGGGTTAATGATTTTTTTGTGATTGGTAGAGCTAAAATTTTAGGGCCTCAGAGCTGAACGGATAGGATACCTAATACCTATGCCTTCCATATACCTTCACAGGATCAGTAGCGGCGGAAAACCAAAAGTCGGGGCACTGCCGACTTTTGGTCTCATTCTTTCCATGCAACGCCCTTAGTGCCAATGTTAAAATACCAAAATTAAAGGGGGCACCCGGCACAGTGCCCCGGTGCCCTCCCCGTTCCGCCGCCTATGCACAGGATGCCCAGAGAAAGGAACGCCGCCTCCCTCCCAAATCTTCAATTCCAAAAATTTCGGTTTTCAATTCCAACTTTTTATAATAATTGTTCAGCATTCTTCCATTCTAGATACACGGTAAATTTTCATTGGTTTTGGGCGCTCCAGGGATGGGGATCAGATCATTGCTCCAGATTTGCTCCGCACTCAAACGCCCCATTTCTACGACTTGACCTCCGCCCTCCGCACTCGGCACTAGTCAGGCAGGAATACAAGAAACAAAGACGGTCGCAAGAGTTTTTGCGTGTTCGCAGCAATCAGAAACAAAGCGTCTCAACATGGTCACTCGTTTGATATAGCGTTTTTCGACAATATACCTGGCCAGTAGGTTTGTTGCTCTCACCACCGTATATAACTGTAGTTTATTCAACACCAAAACTGATGGAGCGTTTTCTGACAAAGCATCTCGGAAAATAAACTTATGCCAGATAAACAGTCGATAAAATCAAGAAGACGCATCAAGTGAATGTTTCCGCGCATCGCACGTTGAACATTTTGAGACATTTTTAAAGAGGAACTGGGAAGGTTACAGCCGCCACGGTCACCCACCACCAGCTCAATACGATTGAGCACGTGGTGCTCAGTGAGTCGCCGCGCCCGGATCTGCGCCATGAACACAGCGAACGAAGGGCTACCTTAGGTCGTTGTCGCCGCACCGACTCACGACGAGGCCTTCCCACTGTGGGACAGTGAATGCGTGACGAGACTAGATACTAGTCAACCGTGTGCAAACACTCCGACGCGCGATGGTGACGTGCACAACAGTATGAGCATAGTGCACGCCGAAAGGAAGATATCGGTTCATTTAATAATACTGGCGATCGAACTACTAAGTACAGGGCGTCTCTCCGCACGGTATCGTCGATGGTGGATCGGGGGAAAATGCTAAGTCATGTGAAAAATAACGTCTAACTATTCCTAGTCATTGTAAATGAGCTGTAGAGTTCAACTTTTTCGAACTTAAACGTCCTCGTATACACACGCACAAAACATGGACCTTTTCCTCAAAACTAGAAGACACATTCGAAAAACGAACACTTTCGGAATTATTCTATCAAATGGAGATGAAAATGTATATTTTCACATATGCATACCTATGGTAACAACGGGTTTTACCAAAAGGCTAAAATGATTTTTATTGATGCGGTATTCACATCAACACGTTAAATCCAGCAGTATCATAATATATTTCTTATCCGAAAAGGTCAAGGTCCGGTAGAATAAAAGTATTTCAACTTAACCTAAATCATAAATTTCCATCACTCAAACGGGACTTTGATCATATTCAGGACAACCTTAGCGGGACACTTTGGACGTGTCCTTTCATGGTTACCTTATCAGCGCTCGGGCTCGTGTTTCAGCGACACCACGGTCCGCACGTCCCAAGTAGCAGAACATCTTATATTCTAAAATAGTCTATAGAACACTGCTCGGCAGCGGCGGATGACCCGTCCCTCCCGTCACACGGGCGGGTAAGGGCGGGTAGGCGGGTCGGGTCACAGAATAGGCTCTATCGCCCCAAGCAGCTGGTGTCTGGCCTGCACGGCCGGCTAGCTGCTCTAGGGCACCTCGGAGATGGGCGGAAAGTGCAGCTCGGGCCTGCCCTTGCCGGTGGCGGTGCGCGGCGCCTCCTCGGCCGAGGCGTCGCTGCCGTTGTCCGAGTCGGCCAGCGCCATGTCCTTGGCCTGGCGCGCCTCCATCAGGAAGATGCTCTCCTTGTTGTCCTTCTCGCAGTAGCGGTCCATGCGGTCGTAGATGATGCCGTCGCAGCCCTGCGCCTTGAGGTAGCGGATCGTGTCCGAGTTGGCGTTGTCGTCGCCCCAGCAGAACACCACCAGACCCTTGGCCTGGGCGCTCTTGATGTACTCGGGCTGCTTCAGCAGCACCCCAGAAAAGACGTCCACGCCCTGCCGACCACCAGACCGGTTAGATGTTGAACTGAAGCTGTTCAAACGGTGAATCATCCCTAATCACCATATCTATTCGCGTGTCTTAGCATCCACCAACTCTTCATTACCAGTATCTAGCGGCAGAGCGCACCCAAACCCAGTGACACCCCTCCATCCCCCCGTATCTGAGGTCATGCTACTCCCAGGCAAAGAAACTTCCTTCATCCCAAGAGGATACTCCCTCTCATTCACACAGGTCACGGAGCCCTTCCTCCCCTCACCAGTATCTGAGCGGAGCGCGCCCGGACACAGAGGCCCTCCTCCCCCTCACCAGTATCTGAGCGGAGCGCGCGAACAGCTGCGCCATGTCCAGGCTCTGGCAGCGGGTGTCCTTGTACGGCGGCCACTGGTCAGTCTCGCCCTGGGTCAGGAACAGCACCGGGTAGCGGTTCTGCTTCAGACGCAACATGGTGCAGATATCCGGGTGGAAGCACGAGAAGATGATCTTGCGCGTGCCCGAGTGCTCGAGCACCACCTTCAGGATGTGGTCGATGTAGCTGTTCAGCTCGAATGGGTGGCACAGCTCGAACGAGCCATCCTGGAAATCCATCAAGTGGGTTAGCAAGAGTTTAGATTTAGGGATGTGGGCGAAAATATGCTGTACGATACAGTCGACAGCTGCTCAACTTACAATGCAAAATACTACTGCAGCTGTTACTACGTTAAAAACCGGCCAAAACCTCCATGTTTGCATCACCACCAACAACATCGACAGATATCCAACGTGTGACAACGATCGGCTGACAGCCCATTACCTGCAGCTGCATGGTCCACTTGATCTCGATGTTGAAGCCGAGGTGCGGGTCCAGGCTCTCCATGGCTAGCTGCAGGGTGGGGAACGGCTGGTTGTCCTCCAGCAAGTCGTTCTCCAGGTGCAGAGAGCCCATCTTGCCCTCCTCGATATTGTACACCTGCAAACACAGACATGCATTCACCAAAGATAAGACAGTGTGAGTTCAGCATTAGAAACCGTGAGCTTTTGTCGCAAGCAGCGAGCCAGCTATTCCCCATATCCTAAACTTCTCGCGGCTAGAACATGTTGCATACAATATCACCATGCGTCCCAGAGGGGAGTTTCCCGGCGTTGCACGCTGAGTCAGGCCCACCTTGAGCTGCTGCAGCTGGGCGTACTCCAGATCCTTGAGCGGCACCGTCAGCAAGTGGTGGTCGTCGATGACGTCCTTCTTCCGCAGCGCGATACCCACGTGGAAGTCGTGGTAGATGAGCGGCACCATGTCCTTACTCAGCTGAATGTCAAACTCGACGAAGTCGGCTCCGTGCTCCATCGCCTGCTTCAGTGAGGCAATGGTGTTCTCACGGATATTGGCACATGCTTCAGGCCTGCAGAGGAAGCAGCTCACCTTAACCGGATGCCACAGTCATCCTCTGAGCTAGAGCACAGTCCCAGAGCCCAGCGGCTACATAGCCCAACACAGCACTCTCCATCTTGCCGGGTCGTTACTTACTTGTGTGTGAACGAGTTGCCGGCGCCGCGGTGGCCCACGTCCAGGCCGCGCCACGTCTCGCGCCAGTAGCGGGAGTAAGAGTTCTCCATCATACACTGGGCCTCCTCCATCGGACGCACCAGCAGGTAGTCCACTGCCCGACAGGAGCGGTTAGAGTAGACCGAAAGGTAAGGGCCCAAACGGAACTCTGGACAACTGACAGTCATCAGATTCAAAACGACGTGTTTCAGCTTTTCTTAAATCATATTCTTAAGTCACCGGAGGATGCCCTCCGGTGAAGTCTGAGCAAACTGACCACCCGTGACCAAAGCCTATGCCGGGCGCTGCAGTGGTGCCAGTCTGCTTGTAGCGCAACCCTTGACATAGGCCTACACCAGCAGCCCACTGATGATGTTTTTGCGCAGTGCTGTCACCTGTGAGCTGCCCAATCGGCTGCTGGCTGGTGCCGTTGATGGGCATGCTGACGGTGCCGTTGGTCTGTTTCAGGTTGTTGGGCAGGATGTGGCAGAAGCCGATGTGCTCCGCTGACTCGCCGTCTGTGTTCTCGGCAGAGTACAGGTCCACCATGTAGGCCTGTTGACGGGCGGGGGGGGGGGGGGGGGTCAGCGTGGTTCGGCAGGGACTGGCCTGGCCAAGGCCAACACCCGACACTGTGGGACACAGGGAACATATGGCAGAGGCGCTGAAAATGGGATAAATACCATCCACACATAAAATGACACAGGTTACGACCCCGACACAGCGTCCGGTTCCACCGACACGTCTTCCCTAAGCAGCTACTCCAGGTGGCCAGGAATCTCCTGAAATGTACGGCATCGATACACGAACAGGTGACGCGGAAATAAACAGCAAGTGCGTAGAGAAGCATGCCTTGTAGGAGGAGAGCAAGGCTTCATTTTAGGTCCACATATTTTAATTGCGTTCTTACGACACATGAACAACGGCACACAAAATAAAATCATCCGACAACTTGCACCCCCTAGTTCTTAAGCTGATCACATAGATGTGTGTGAATAACAAAAAAAAAAGCAATCCGCAGTGATACGTGCGCTTACATTTCTCCTTTGTTTCTCTCAAAAGGCAATATTGAAGCTATAAGCCAGTGCCACAAAATAAGGCAGACCGTACACTGACAGTACTCCGCGTTTGCTCTCATAAAGATGATATCCTTTCATCTATGTTTGTGCTGTAAACGCTCAAGCTATCAACAGCCAACTTTTGATACGCACCACTTCTACTGTTGGTCAATGAATACATCAACCCCTCCACAAGACACCTTTCTACTCAGATCTATGTCATAATAACAATCCGATACGGCAAAGCTAACATACGCCGATTGTTCAAATAAGCGAATTCTGTCGAACACAGTTTGCTCCATTTGAGAAAGGACTGCGAATATTAGCGAGTTCAAGACACTACTGCTCGTTGTCTTCCCTAGCTTGTACTTCGCGCAATGTGTGCATATACCAGCCAACATGATCGCAAAACCGAAATCTAAGTCAAACAGAAGCACTGTTATCAGAAGCGAAGCTCAGAGTTCGTGGTCCTTACCTAGTAGTCCGATATATGTCAGACACATCTGGCTTGCGAGTGTGTTCGACCAGGCATGCTGTAGACACCAGGGTGCAATCACGTCCACCAGCCTGCGGCCACACAGGCCTGCCTGCCTCTCCACACAACAGAGCAACTACCCAGGGGCGTCGCCTTACACGGTGGGCCTCTGCACCCTTCTCAGCGCTCAGCCCGGTACCGAATCAGCACCTCAGACGACCGATCAGCGCTTGGGGGGCGACCGCTGCCAAGTCACCAGTCTTGTCGGGACCGGCCGGTCGGCGCCCCTCGCCCCGTGTCATATCAATGGCCTTCCGAGAGGTCAGGTCAGGCTTTGGTGTCAGGTCAGGCTCTGATGTCAGATCGCTCTCTCCAAGTCTTAGTCGCAACCCACTGTTGCTGCTGCACCGCGTAGCTGCTGATGCTGCTGCTGCCAAAGTGCTGTGTTAACAATGCACGCCTCCCGCGCCTGTAACAAGCGCTGCGGGCAGCATCTCTGCGGGAATCGAAACAGGGTGGTTAGCGCCTCGCCAGCGGACAGCTGCAGGACAGACGGGCACGGGGACAGGCACGGCAGGCGCGAGGACAAACCACCCTCCGCGGACAGCCGTCTCGGCCGGACCCCGCGCGGCGCCGGCGCTCAGCGGCACGCACAGCGACCCAAACGGCAGACGGCGACACCACCCAACTCGGACCGACAGTTCGCCTGCGGGCCACACTCAGATCGATACAGCCTTGGCCGAAAGCGCGCCTCGCACCGGACACCGAAATAGCGCTCTGTTCCTGGTGTTCGTAACAATGATACACATGCTGTCATTGATCGTACGGTAACTGAACGCGAGCACCATAGGGCCCGAACCGGCAGGGCAAGCGAAGACAAACAGCATTGTGGTGACCAACACTCACTGCCGCTGCCGTCGGTGCAAGCACCCGTCGCCATTCACGCACACAGCATTCGCGCGCGCGGCCCACCACTCACGATCGTCTCGGGTTTCAGCATCTGGCACTGGAAGGTGAAGAAGTCTCCCTCCTCGTACACTCGGCCAAACTGCTGCTGGCGCTGGAAAAAGTTTTCGCCCTCCTTCATGACCTGCAGGACAAAGCCGGTCAGTGACACCAGTCGTGAAAGCCACTCACAGACACCAGTTACTTAACTAATTCGGTGACGAAGTTTGGGTTAAAACTTAAGAGTGTTCAGACTAAGTTGGTTAACGGTGCCCACTGCCCATCTAGTTCGTTGGGACATTGACGTCAACCCCAAAGAGTTGAAGCTTCATCCATCTTTCAATTTCAATATGCCTTTAGCAATGAGGTTATGGTGTTTTCTGCGACGAAAGGAAGCTGGGAAAACAGCTAGGAGAGATACGCCAAGACATGTCCACATTTGAATCCGCTTTTTCAAGTTACAAGATTTTCTTGGCACCCGGCACAAGCATTGGCCACATTGGCGTTGCCCGTTCAAGACACAAAACTAGCGCCCATGCACAGACGGTTATCAATCTCCAGCCGCACAGGACTCATTGGGCTGGCGAACACTGCCTAGGGTGGATGGAATGCTGCAGTCGCCGGGCAGACCCCTAATTTCGTGACTAGCAGCTCGTTGGCCACCGGCCAGTCATTCCGACCATGACCTTGACTGAGCTTTGCAACAGGGCAGCTTCGTTCGCCTCCTCGGTCACAAGAAAGAGGGCGAAGAATATAGACCATGAGGGGCAGTGTTTTAAGCATTTCATATTCGGGTATATTTTGGGGCTTGAATTTCTGACCGCGGTACAATTTATCTGCACCTCAATGAACATCTTCCACTCATTAGTTACCAAGTACTTTATGTGACTGCCCCGCATTATCCAATGCTGTTAATCCGAATGTCAAAGACACACGTCATGCTTGACTCTAGCATAGAGCATACAACACATGTCAAAGAAAAAAAAACTCGCATATGGCGTCGGTAACGTGGAAGCAATGAGCGCCAAAACGTCTCATCAAAACAAGGTACCCTCTGACTCTTTGATCCAAAGTTAGCCCAGCGGCACCTCAGATGACTTGGCCAAGGTCGTGTGCACGTCAGCGCTCTCGGCCGTTTGGGGGTTCAGGCCGCTGGCAGTTTTTCAACCGGAGTCGGTGGCTCACAAGTGTCGGTGGGAGAGGAGAGGCAGTCGGCCGCCCCTCCGCGGCCAGGTGCCAAGTGGCCGTCCGGGGCGACCCGGGGGCGGGGGCGGGGAGAAGGGGGCAGGTGAGTGACCTCCGCGCCGGGCGGCCGACGGACCCAGCCAGAGACTGAGACTCGGCCAGCGCCGGACAGCCAGCCAGTGGGCTTGGCAGAGCGCCGCGAAGCAAGGGATAGCCGGCGGCAGGGGACGGGCTAAGGTTGGATAAATGTGTGGTTTTAATTATTTTTTTTTTTATGTGCGAAAGACATCTTCAGCTGTTCAGTAAGTATTCAAAAAGTTTAGCGACACAGCGCTATCAAATACTTAGCCCACACCTGATTCACCGATAGCACCGATATTTCAAAGTTAATCGTGCCGCAGGGAGGCGAAGAAACGGTTCTCCCGGATCTGCGGCTTTTCTCTGTTGCCGGCCCGAACCTTAAGTACTCTGGACCTGAGCTGCTCTATCCTATGTCATTCTGATTTCGTGACATTCCCAATCTCATTTCAGAATGGCACGATCATTGGTAATCTTAAATAGGTAAACAAGTGCTAAATGACGGAGTCTTTTTAGAACCCACCGTCACAGAGTAAAGAAACGGGCATATCACCCGACCACAAACTAGTAGAGCAGTGAATCATGCATAGCGTTCACTGAATCAAACTGTAGGAACGCAATAATAGGTTCAGTTGTCCTTCCGCGCTCCTCTATCCCAGTCTGCAAGTCACGGGGGCACCATGTTTCTATATAAACAGTCGATAGAACTTACTAGAATCGACTTTTCCTGGACTAATACCGGTTTAAGTCGGAAATCACCGATCATCTAAAGCTCTACCTCCCGTTAGTTAAGATAGCGCAATAATCTCAAACATGAAATTCCGCAGCGGCTGACGTAAGAGCATCACGAGCTGTCTGACGCACGCCCAGGGGGGCGACACGGCTATTCGCGCAATGTATTAATTTATGGGCCGCGCGGGGCCTCGCGATGACGCGGCTGGAGGCAACTGCTCAGCGCGCTAGGATACTTCTGGCGGGGCGGGGCGCTGAACGGTGTGCAATGAATGGGTTATGGTCGGGCCGACAGAGATGAGGTATTGAATTTGAATTGACATCAGCAATCGGGTGGGGAAGGAGAACGTTCCTAATCGAGCTTGGGTTGGGGAAAGCCGAAAATATCGCGATCGGCTCATAGCTCAGACAGGGCCGGGTGCCGTACCATGTGTTGTATACATATTTAGGCGGGCAGACAGAGATGAGTTATTGGATTTAAATTCACCTTACCATCGGTTTCTGGAGGGGTTTGAAAATGGTTTTAGTCAAGCTCGGAGTGGGGTAACCCACTGGCGGATCCAGGGGAAGGCATTTGGGGCAAATGTCTTCCCCCACATTGGCAGCGCCCGAAATCGCTTTTCGAGAATCAAAGAAAACTTCACAACTTTTCTGAGGAAATGTTGGTTAATCACACTGCACAGCAGTGCGCAAGGAATCGAAATCAGAGTTTTTTTTTAATTAATTCCGAGAAACCTTTTTGGGGTAAGCCCCCGCAGTGTCCAAGACCGCTTCCTGGATCCGCCAGTTGTGAATAAGTCACGGTCGATACCGAGCTTCGGCGGGACCAGGCGCTGTATACGTTGTTCTTTCAATGAAGAGGTGGACAGACACCTAGCCCCACATCCTACTGCTATGCCCGTGCTTCTGTGGGTGAAGCACTAAAGCATCACGGAATCCCACAGGACCTGCGAGTCGACGAGGTGGGCCGCTTTGGCCGCCGGGTACTGCAGCTCCCTGGAGTTGCCTGGGACCGATGGCAAAACAACAGCTCCGGCGGTGCCCCTATGGGCCGTAGTAATTAGCGAATTCCTGTAATGTAGAGATCATATCCTCAATAATCTCCATTACCATTTTATATTCCTAAACAGTATGACAGAACAATTATGCTTGCCTACGTTCAGGCATTACCTCTGATGGTCATACGTCCAGTACAACATGTGTTGTCTGTCAAACAACAATCGACGACGGGATCTCTTCTCATTATCTCTTAAGCCATCGGTTGTCAATTCACCCACCCCGTTTCCCTAAAAATAGACGGTCAGATTCGGCCTGGGTCCTTACGACCCCTCTAGATTCGCCAGAGACGGGATCGGATCGCCGTTATTGCACCCGTCTTAGTGTCTTTAATACTATGACAGCTTCGACCACGGACTTCGGACGGGGTGATCGTTCCACGAATGTACGAACCATCCAGGCCTAGAGTGCATCGAGGTTTAAAAGAATGCAGTCTGTAGATCAATAAACATAACAATGGTGGTATACAACCACATTAAAATATCTCCCCGGCTCCCGCAACGTTCCAACGCCCCTCCGTTATGCATTCGCCTTGTGTGTCCGCCGAGCCGGCTTGCCTCCAATGACGTCATCGGCCGGCCGGCGGCGTTCAAGGTCAAACGGCTGGTGTCCTTACCTGGAGTTCTATAGCCTTGCGCACGCCATGACGGCGGAAGGGGAGGGTTCAGGGTTGCACTGCACTTCAGTAGGTATAGTCGACTACAGAATGATGTTCCACTCCTCAGAAGCTATCAGTTGACCGGAGCGCAAGTTGTGCCGTTTATCATGCAATTAAGCGTGTCGATTGTGAGCATTGGGACGAAGCTATAATTTGTGAACTCAGCCCGTGTGATGCGGCACAGCCTACCACTCCAGGCAAATAATTGCCTGTGAAAAGTGGAACATCATTCTGTAGTCGACTATACAACGTACACGGGGCAAAGGAAAGGGCGGGGGAACTCACTGCCAGCTCCATGACGGGCCACGTGTTGCCGGCGCGCAGCGACTGCATGTCCATCTCGGAGCTATCCTCGCTGCTCATCAGCGGCTCGGCAATCATCTTCCTCTCCAGGTTCACCGGCGTCACCTTCAGGCGGTACTGGAAAACACGCGGAAGTGTGGGTCAACTGATCGGTTCATGTGCGTATGCACTATACATAAGACCGGCTGAAAAATGGGGGAATACATGGGTGGAACACAGCACGCCAGGGCACATGAGGCCGGGTGAATAAAAGGGTGAATAATAAGTTCATATAGGTATCCGACCACTGGCCAGCATTCATAACGAATCCATCTGATTAATTTTCATCGCCACTCTTTCCATTGGCTTGCTTCTATGACTGAGATAAAAATAAATTTTCATGGCGGATACCTCAATATATTCTCTACAACAAAAGTCATATTAACGGGGTAAATTTAAGGCAATGACAATGAACAGCCGTGGGAAAGCAATAAAGTTCCACCAATCAATACCTCCGTCTGACTCCTGGGTGATCACAACAAGTCGGCCTGACAGGATCAATTGCGGCGTAAGCGAAGACGGCGGCGTCCCCGGTCGCCGGGGTCCCGAGCGGAGACGGCCGGACTGACGGCTGAGACGCCGCATGTGTCAGCAGCGTGGCCGAATGCCAGCCAAAGGGTTCTGTCGCCGGCGCCCGGCACAGGAATCAGGGACCGAGCGCTGTCAGTCACCCGTCCTCGGTCTTTTGACTGGACCTTCTGACATTTGACCTTCTCAGAAAAAGTTTTTTAGGTGAAATACAATTCGCCTCATTGGGTTTTGCGTCCAATGTTTTCCATCTCTCAACTTTTTGGAAGTTCGACGGGGGGGGGGCCGAAGATGCCGCTCCCCCAAAATGGGTGTGGTCGGTTGAATACCACAGCAGAGCGCCAGCTCTAAAAAGAAATCGCTAGTAACTACCTAATAAGTGAGAAGTTGTGACGTCACCGTCGGCACCGCTAATCCGATTTGTAAACTGATCGGGCGCATGTTTACCGTGCGGTATCAGGTGTCTGGGGAGTGGCAAACGACCCGCAGTCAGATCGAGTGACTCCGCGCGACAGCCCCAGCGATAAGGGCCGCCAAGGATCGCCGTAGGACTGCCGGGCCCTCCGAAACCCTCAATGGGATCGAGTGACCCAGTGGCCCTCAGCAAAATCGAGTATGTAGCTCTCTGTGACCCACAATTGGATATAGTGACCTTTCGTGACTCACATTAGGATGAAAAGGCCCCACGTTACCCGTAATAGGCTAGTGAGGCCCTCCGTGACCCGCCAAGGGTTAGAGTGGCCTTTTATGACCCACTGTAGGATCGAGTGGCCCTTTTTGACCCGCAGTCGGATCGAGTAGCCCTCTATTGCTCATCACATCACAGACCAGGTGACCATCTATGGCCCCCGTAGGATAAAGTCCCTCCATGGTCCGTAATAGGCTCGAGTGACCCTCCGTGCAGGTCGAGAGATATGGGGCTGCCGGGGATCACTCTAGGATCACCTATTCCTCCGTGATCCGTCGTAGGACCACCAGGCCCGGCCTTCCCTGATCCGGGCCAGTTCAAATTCCCTCCGTGGCTCACAGTCAGATCCAGTGGCCCTCCTTGACCCTCGTAAGATCGAGAGGTCCTCTGGGGCTCCCGTAGGATCAAGTGGTCCTCCTTGGCAAACGTAGCGATAACAAATGTCGACAAGGACGGTGTGGAGAGCACAACGGTCACCAAAAGATATGTGACAGGACACAGAGATATGCTGTATAGGACACGGACGGAGGACAGAAGAGAACTGCGCAGAAGATAGTGCTACATTGGCGGAGTAGCTCTGGTGCAAATCGGCAAAGAGTATGCTGACGATAGAAGCGACCGGCCCAATTCAGTGATGGGTTTTGGCAGAGCGCAGCGCGAGGGGCCGCAAGTCGCAACACGCCTAAATTGAGCAAGCATGACGTCCACTTCTCACACTTGTGAAGTGTGAACCTACATTTTAATGCCTAACTATACGAGTATATGGGAGCTCGACTTTTCGGCAAGCGCCACATCTGTGCTGCCGTCGCGCTTGATCCAGATTTGACACAGGTGGCCGAAGTTCCGGTCCGCGTTTGATATTCACATTTGTTTTCTGAGAAACACATTTCTATGCCGTTCGCACGCAAAAATTTGATGAGACATATGGACTGGTCGGAGTCACGTAACCGTCTCTTAAAAAAAAACTTTTAACGACGGGTTGGCGGTATTCGTATCTGAAGCACTGTGCTCGTGAGCACTTTTCGCTTCTGCATTTTGGACCCTTCCGTGCCGTGCTATATCACATCAATAAGGTCATTCAAGCTCATTATAATTTTTCGTAACAGCTCCCGATCAAAGTGTGCTAGCGAATCGGGAGAGGCACCAAGGTAGCTACGAGTGAACTGCCAAACCAAATTGTATGGAATATGAACTTCCCCATCAGTTTCCTCCTGACCTGGTTATTTCTGACCTGATCTTGACCTCTTAAATGACCTTGCCGAATAAAAAGCACCTATACAATTGTGCGAAGTCGTATAAAACAAACGCGATGGGACCAATATAGCTTTTCTGCGACCATTTTGACGAAGTTTACAAAAAAGCGAACACCGACCCTTGGATCCTCGACCTGACCTCCGAGGTCACTGGTAGACAACGAGACCTGAGACTGGGTACCAGTTGCTGCGTCTCGTAAGGGCGCACACGCCCTTTTCTGCGCAGCTCTAGCTAAATTTTAGGGGCTTAGAGGTGAGGGAGGTCAGTCTCAGAAGGCCCTCACCGAGATAAGAGAGACTCATGCTAGTCTGAGAAGACATCACACCGCGCCGATCTGAGAGAACCCAGTAGGTTTCGGTTATCAGTAATCAGTGTACCTACCACCACTGGATCCCTTCAACTAACTCACTAATAAACCAGCACCACTCATCAACAGTGTCCCAGGCCATCCAGTGTCCAATCCATAAACAAGCCTATGATCAATACAGTATAACCAACCGTCTAAAAGTCCCCAAGACAAGACGAGCGCCCGCTGCGTGGCAGTCTTTCCTCACTTCACGCGGCGATAGCGACAAAAGAACCCTTAGGTAAATTATATAACTTGACAAATGATAGTTCAGACTTCAGAGTTGTTTGGTGGAGTTTGGCGCATTCAAATACGTCAAAACGTCAGATATTTCACCGTTTCCGCTCACCTTTCTCTGTCGCTTCTTCCACAGCTCGACCGGGTTGGCGTAGAGTTTCAGCTGCACCACGGACTCGACGCTGAGCCAGCCGCGGTCCACGTGGCGCATGGGCGTGATGCAGCCGAAGTGGTCCAGCTGGTCGCAAGCGGTGTCGTCCTCCTGCAGCGCTGGCGACACGGGCCAGTGGGGGGCGTCGGTCAGCCCCGGCCCGCCGGCCTCCATCGCCGGCGCCGGCGCGCGCCGCTCTGGACCCCTCCACGGGATGCACTGCTTAGGGCCCATTGTGGCCTAATAAGTCGACCGAACCCGACCGACAGATTGCTGCTCGATGAGGATCGTTACACGGAGCGGGTGGAGACGTCAGCGAATAAGACGAAATCAAAACGAAAATGAATGGTTGGCCGCAAGGAAGTCGTTTATTAGGTTTGTTACATAAAAAATATATTACTGGGCTAATAAATGGTGTGTCGAATTAAATGCTAAAAAGTAACATTTTTTCGAAACATAGGCCAACATGAAAAGTACAACGTTAAAAATAAATAATTGAACACATGCTCCACGTGCAAAATCAGAAAACAATCGTCCGAAATTGGATGAAAATTTCGAAGCTATTTGCATTGAAGCAAGGCGTGCAAAACCATTTTCGATAAAAACCATAAAACGTATTATAAGAGTCATAACAAAACGAAATACACGCCAATGCATTTATCTACTCATAAGTGATCGTGTTTCGCAAACAATCCGATTTTAACAAAACAAATAGCCGGCAGCTATAAAAAATACGTCGAAGTAAATCAAATACCTACATGTGAATTGAATCAACAACGTGTAAATGTCTGTGATTCTAAAGTGCTTTGAGGAGTTTCATTTCTCAAATTATCGATTTTCGGCTCTTTTTTTGCGTTGAGCTTCGATTCCGCTTTTCGTTTGATCCAAGGCCATATATAGGGTTTGATTGGTTTGATCGCTTCTTGAAAAGCATTTTTAGCGTTTGTTTTATTTGGTTTTGCTTGATACGCGACCAGATGATGGCCCATCTGTCCGATCACGGTTTGATCTCCAGCCACCAACACGGTTTCCGCCCTGGGAGATCATGCGTGACTCAGCTGCTGGAAGTGTTGGACTCATGGACAAGAGATCTGGACGATGGAAAACCCGTGGACGCTATCTACCTTGACTTCCAAAAGGCCTTTGATTCGGTCCCCCACCAGAGACTTTTGGTCAAGTTAGAGGCCTATGGCTTCACTGGCAAGCTCTTAGCCTGGATTAGGTCATTCTTGACGGGTAGGAAACAGCAGGTGATACTCGAGGGTAGACACTCAGAGTGGTCGGATGTGACCAGCGGAGTCCCTCAGGGCTCAGTACTCGGCCCTCTGCTGTTCCTCATCTACGTCAATGACCTGCCGGACCGGATCCAGTGTGACATCAAGATGTTTGCCGATGACACCAAGCTTTACGCTGGGGTCCGAACCAGAGCCGACGCTGACCGCCTCCAGGCTGATCTGAATGAAATCGCTAGGTGGTCAAACACCTGGCTGATGCCCTTGAACAAAGGCAAGTGCAAGGTCCTCCACATCGGCCACTCAAACTGCGAATTTGAGTTCACCTTTGACTGCGCCCCTCTAGCCAGCTGCACTATCGAGAAAGACCTCGGAGTACAAATCGACTCCGAACTGAAGTTCCGAGAGCACGCGGCCTCTGCTGTGGCTAAAGCGACCCAGATCCTAGCAGTCATCCGACGAACGTTTGCTCTCCTTGACGAGACCACGCTCCCATTACTTTACAAGACGCTGGTACGTCCTCACCTCGAATACGGCAACCTAATATCGGGCCCTTTCAACAGACACGACCAGCGTCTGGTCGAGCGCGTGCAGAGAAGAGCCACTCGGCTGGTTACCAACATCCGCGGCAAACCGTACGAAGAACGCCTGCGTTGCTTGAACCTCCCGTCCCTCTACTACAGGCGCAGAAGAGGTGATATGATAGCAACGTATCAACTCCTGCACAGTGGTATGGACATTGAGGCAGGCAGTTTCTTCAAGCCGGGAAACACTACTACAAGAGGCCACTCGTTGAAGCTCATGAAGTTTCCGGCTGCATCCCGCGCTCGGAGAAATGCCTTCGCTTCCCGGGTTGCCTGTGCACCATCCCTGAACGTCTTCAAGGCAAGACTCGATGCGCACTGGTCGTCAATCACGTTTACCATACACGACACAGACTGAGCTATGCTTGACACCAGGAGCTCGCCAAGATCGGGTCCTACAGGCCTTACAGCCTAAAAAAATCCCGTTACCGAAAGGTAAGGTAAGGTAAGGTAAGTTTTATTTTTATGCTTACTCGTAAACACGCGCCATGGGTGGCTGGACGTGCCCCAATTGTACAAGATCAACATCGAGGCAATTGATTGCTGAATCTATAGCGTCTGATGCCGATACTAATCAATGACCATCCATAATCATGCATACACAAAGGTTCTGCATTAAACCTATTAGTGGCAGGCTCTGGCTACTCCTATTAGTGACAGGGGGCTGTTTAGGACCCCCCTTGATATCTGGAGATCCAACTGGCCGATTTTTTAAATTGAAACGGCATTCGATTCCCCTTAACGTGATCTACATTTTGAAAAAAAGAAAAGTCCCAAAAAAGCAAATAGGGGGCAGTGCATTTTTAAAACTGCAAATTTCAGAGGCTTCTTAAACTGCTCACCACGGCCATGTTTTTCAAAGGATTTTGACGCAACGACTGCCAATCGATGCAGAATGAACCGGAAATTAGCATGCATCATTAAAATGGGCATTTAAAAAATCATAGGTGGATACAGGTAAATGTATCTGGATTCTGGGAGGTACTTAAAATACATCAAAATTCGGGTTTTCCGTTGTGACATTACCAAAACGGATTGACGATGGTCTTTTGATGTTACAAAATGTGTGATAGAATGACTAAAAGTAGATTGGTAATTCACAGGCGGCGTCAGGGCACTGAAGTTGGAGGTGAAATTGACCTCCCTTTCTGCTTTCCTGGAATCGCCAATGATCCATCTCTTGCTCACTTGTGAACCTGTAATACCTACAAATAATGTTGATGCACCTACAAATTGAATACCTACAGTTATAATGCACCAGTATAGTGATCTTCACCCAAATGACTTGCTTCATGAATAGGACCTCCCAATTCCCGATGCCCTGGAACCGCCCCTGATAAAGGTATCTTGAAAATTTCAGAGGATGTGCCCAGTTTAGTTCTAAGAAAAGTCAGAAATTTCAGCATCCTAGCTCCAGCCGTTTTGAAGATATTCTCGAAAAACCTGAGGGGTGCCGGGTGGATGACAACAACCCCGTGCCACTAATAGGGTTAATAGCATCTAGATTAAGATATCAAAATGTCCGGTGACCTCCGGATAATGTAAATGTATTAAAATACACCATCAGAGACGTAGAACCGGAGCCATCATTTCCACCTGTGCTGCTTGGCTAACCCTACATACGGTGTTTGGTAGGTAAACCAGTCCAGCTGCATGACAAATTGCCGGTATATGGCTCTCTGCAGCCCATCAAACTCGGGTAATCGGCACAGGTTAGACGGTGCCGAGGAAAATCGGTTGAGCACTCAGCAGTGAACAGCCGAACAGCTGAACGTAACAGCCCCCAGTCATCAGGCACTGAGGCCCCATTCTGCCGCAAACCGCCGGTGGCTTATGTGCGCAGCACTTCTACCATTGTGGCGCAACGGTTCGGCAGCTGTGCAGAAGTCAACCACCCGAGCGAACAGACGACACAATGCGATACTGCGCACACCACATGTGCACACCGCTTGGTCATCGGACCGATGAAACTAGCTCGTTCAGTGACGGTTCACTTACGTTCAGGACCAATTTCCGCCATAAAATATACGCAACCTAAACTGTGTCCTCTTTGGAGCACTCTAAATTAAAGAAAATCGATTGAAAAGAGTGTCATCCGAATTAGTGACGCACACGCTGCGGTGCATCACAGCAAGAAGAAATAAGTGCATTGATTACCGACGTGCTGCGCCAATAAATCATTACTTGTATTCCACTGCAGGTTAAATAAGACAAACAACCCCCAACCCCCAACAGCCCCTCCTCCTATCACCAGCAGTCCCTCCCCAACCTCCAACAGCTCCTCCCCCCACCACCGACAGTTCCTCCCCCAAACCCCACACCCAAACCACCACAGTACTCACCTGCGGCGGGTATTTTGCGCGGCGCCAGGTCGGTCTCCCAGCGGCGCGCCACCACCTTTCTCTGGCCGTCCACGTGCAGCAACATGCACACGCAGTAGCGGTAGAACACATCCTGGTCGGTGCGCAGCGTCACAGACGTCCTCCACACGGGCCTGCACGCACACACACACACGGGAGGACGTGACGCATTGTAAAACAACGTAACGAACGAAAGCAAATGATTTGTGCCGGGTGTACTTTGAAGTGAACTAGCAAACGGCAAACGCTGATGTTGATAACTGAATGTCATCACATTCCATTGAAATCGCATGCATTTTGCTACACTTTTTGGTCCTTAAAACACTTTTGGAGTGTTTTATTTCAAAATGCTTAAAAGCCGACGATACAAAACAGTCTCGATGTTTTCGCTCATCATCGCCAACCATGAATAGTAAATGACGACCTTTGTGACCCCCTACCTCGCCTGAAAAGAGGCAAGGCTGGAAAGAAGCAAAGATGCATAACGCATGCATCTTTGCAAAAGATGCATATGCATAACTACGAGCAAACGTTTGCCTTCCTCAAGCTCTGCGGCACTGAGGGCGTCAGACTGCTCCTAGACTACGTAGCGTAAGCGCCATTGGTAGTTGTTCGAATAAAAATTTACAAGCTGTCACTATTTGATAAAGACGTGGTCATTAAAAGCTATCGAGCAATCAATATCTCGAAAATTTGATAGCTATCGAGGTAAATGAAAAGTTATCGAATTCGTATATCAAATTTTCATAATTTTCTATAACGGGATTAACACAATGGGTCAAAGCTTACGATCTACAATACGTAGCCGCCTAATTAACGGCGTCTTAGGTTGTATGAAGGTACAAAAACAACAGTCAACACCAAAAATTTATCGATGTTTCCTCGTACGGCATGCATTGGAGACATTATAATTTTCGGCTGTAATTAGGAAACCGTTAGATGTCATCATGACAGCCAATCCACACTACGTTGAGTTCTCATGAACCAGATTTCCTTTTCAAGGCTGTGCGGAAAACAGGAGTGTCCTGGGTCACAGTTGGCAATGACCCAAATAGGCCCTAAATGGACCACCTCGGGCCTCCGTCACCTCCAGCGGTGCCACTTACAGTGATGAAACCAGACTAGTATTCTGAGAAGATGTCGAACAAGGGGCGGGTCTGACGGAGAGCTCACTGCGCAGAACAATGGTTCTTCATTACGGTGGGGGCAATTTGCCGCACTAACAACTTCTCCGGAATTGTTCACAACGTGTAGAGACGTAAGAAACATAGAGACGTTCAAAAGATCTGGGTAACAGAAGTCATAGGCAGATGCAGAAAGACGGTCTCGGACGCGGGGGAGGGACATACCTGCATTTGGATTTGCCCCAAATCCAAGTGCTCCTCCCCTTGGATCGACCCGTGGGAGAAGTGGAATATTTGAAAAATCTTTCTGATCGATCAGAAAGCGATATCCAGAAAGCAATATCTATATCCCGTATATCGCACGACGTTAGGTTGCACGCATCAACACCAAACAGTTTATTTTCTATTACCTACAGTTTAATTACGCCAATAACTGCTCAAACAAGATTTTCCTATAGAAAAAGAAACATTCCTCACCAATTATCCCAGAAACGAACCAGGTGACCGTGAATGTGTCCTGGAACATGTCCAAATGGTCCTAAGACAAGCTTAAATGGGACCAAGGACGACAGGAAGCGGGCGAAACATAGTGTGTGAGTGTGTTTGTGTTTTACTAGCGCTGTTTTTTTTTCAACTTAATGTTATAGTCACGAAGGACACATAAAAAATAAAGGATGGCTAAGGATATAGTTTCCGTCCTTAACAGGACTGTTTTGTATAAAAAATATAACATCGCACCCATATCGTAAAGTTAAAAATAATTGACTTATTTTTATTATTTTATTTTTTACTACTTATTTAATTACTATTTAATTTAATATTTTATTACTTATTTAATGTCGTTTTTCCGCCTATTAGCCGAGAGACTTACACTAAACACATATGCCGAGCTACCGTTACAAGCATTCACAATACTATGATTATGACGTGACATGTGGCTGGTGAGCAAAACAATGGGTTCAAGTGACAAATGAGGAATGATGAAACGTGAAGAAACAGAAAAACTGTGCGTGTCTCATTATCTAAAGTGATTGAAATCAGTGCCTTGAAGAAGAAAAACTATAGTTCGTTTTTTTTTTCAAAAGGACGCTGGCTCAAAGTTCAATATCGAAGCTCTCACGTGAGTTTTGGCAGCTTCAGTGTCTGGCGAAGAATTTCTTACCGAAAAAATAACCGATTTCAAATTGTGCACGGTAAGTAGCTGGAAATTGTTTCTTAAAAATGAGCATACTATGATGACGTCACTGGTGGCAGCAGGCACCCAAATGTCCGTGCAATGGGACAAGTGTCAACGAATTTGGGTGAAACTTAGTTTTTCACTGTTGCCGAGCTTATAATCGAGCAAGCAGTTCCGTCCATGATAGTTATAAGTTACATTGCAATACATGTTCGACAGTATGACGTCACCACTGTTCTCATATATGGTTCCAAAACGCACATATGGAAATTATCGGGAAGAAATCACATGTTAAAATTAGTCGACGTTCGATTTTCTCAGGTTCAGTTTTTGCTCGTTTTGCTCGCTAAAACACGTGCTTGTTCGAAAAACATACTTGGAGCCAGCGTCCTTTTGAAAAAAAAAACGAACTATAGTGCCAAACCAGCGCCAGGAAAAATAATTGCCTTGAGAAACCAGTGTGACATGGCTGTCAACATCTGCCTCGTTTATATTCATTTTTTTTTACAAGTTCACACTTCCTATGCATGTAAAAAATAAAACTCCATGCTATGAAAATATGGTGCCCATCACACGGTACTCACGGCTCAGTCTCTGTAGTGCCGTTGGTGGTGCCGTTGCTGACGTTTGCACGCCTGGCTCCGTTGGTTCCGGTGACTCCATTGACTCCGTTGACTCCGTTGGCCCCGTTGATGCCGGTGAAGTGGGGCACCGGGTCGGCTCTCTGCAGCTCGACCACCGAGCCGAGACACCAGCTGCCGAGCTGGGCGGCCGAGCCGACCAGGCACACCGTCTCGCCGACATCGACCTCGCAGGTGACGCTGAACTGCCACTGGCGACTGACCGGCGGCGCCATGGCCCGACCGGCGACCTGGCGCCAGAGGGAACGACTCGGTCACCACAGGCCACAAATTGAGACTCCCCGAGCCCCGGCACCAGCGGAAACAGCACGGTCACCACACGCTGTAAATCACGATACCATGAGACCTGGCACCAGCGGGCACCAAGCACTAACCTCAGCCCTCAGGCTACTACAGGAAGGCACCAAAAGGCCCTGGCACCAGCGGAAACGGCACGGTCACCGAGAGCCGCCGCGTACAAGCACACTACAGATACAGGTGACCGATTAGATATACTAAAAACGTCCACCGAAAAATGGATGTAGTTTGTTAGCATTGCATTTGTATATGAAGCCTTCATTTAGCATGATCAACGATTATGCTTGGGACTTAACAACAGCATGTGATTCATTCATTCATTCATTCATTCATTCATTCATTCATTCATTCATTCATTCATTCATTCATTCATTCATTCATTCACTCACTCACTCACTCACTCACTCACTCACTCACTCATTCATTCATTCATTCATTTATTCATTCAAGCATTCATTCATTAGCTCACTATTTCATCCATTAATTCAATCATTATTATTATGTTAAGTAGCTCAATATTATTCATTCATTCATTCATTCATTCATTCATTCATTCATTTATTGAGCCACTCATTCATCGATGAACTGCAGTTTCACTAGTCGCCTGCAAGCACAACTACTGCTGAACAGCTGACATCCAACACCTTTGGTTGCCCCTAGATTTAGCCGGCTACTGGGCTGGGCAGTAGGCATGTCTTTCGCCATGGCAAACAAAAACTTTCGGTGTTTTGTTTCATGCTCTCGTAAGCGTTTCCGTTAAGTCCAATGGACGCTTGTGTGAATTATATTGTGTTACAGGGATTTTATTTTAAATATTGAAAGAACAAATGCAAGAAATGGCCACGGCTTTAGCGCATAAAGTCTATAGATAAATTTGCCCGAGAATAAAACCGTCAACAAAGCAGAATCAAATCCATTGTCATGACTGCAGTGAAATCCGTTGCTCCGTTCCGGAAAATGAACATCCGTATTTGAGAAGCCAGTCTTACAGGTCATAATGCGTCATTTGATGATGAACTTTGTCTCTCCGTCTTACGAGCGCGAAGCGCCTCTTTGACCCGGGAGGCATGCGAGCCCACCGACTGACGTGATCGTTGTCATGTTGTGTGCACTATGAACTGTGGTCTTCGGGGACAGGATGATCACGGATTTGGCAGGGCCTCAATGAGGGCAAAGCTCAACAGCCGAGTGTTATGACTGGGCGGTAATCGTGATTGATAGCGATGAGACAGTAGTATTGATTGACCTATACAATCATTGAAAAGGACCTGACGATTGGCAGACAATACAGAAGCAGGCTTAAAGATAGTAGCAAATTTTCCACTGAATCGTAGGCTATATAACTTTCTACACCGATCGCTCATCAGACTGAACCAAGATGTTTTACAGCTGTTTTTAGCATGCACTTTTGCCTTTTCTTGTTTCAGTTTACAAAAGATACGGTTGAATAGCCAGTCATGGGTCTTAATTATGCCCATATAGCAATACTGCAATAAATCGCAAAACTACTTGTGAAGCTGTTTACCTACCTATTATTTGTGCAAACACTGGCAGCCGGCGTGATATCTTGGACGATGCCACGTGGCAGCCTAGGGAACAGCACGTGTCAGAGTATATAGAAATAACGTGATTCAGGCATGTGATATCCTCGACATTACACGACACGCTGGCTTACACCGCGTCCAAACAGAATGACACGTGGTACTGCTGATACCACGAGGTCTCTCGAGATCACTACCGTATCATTATGATCAGCAATCCACGGAATGCTACTTTTCAAGGCTAATTTTTACGCAAATATGTCGTTTTACTGTTTGCAACTATTTCAGTGTTCAGTTGATATATACCTAAGAAACACAGTCCCAGATGTCTTCCGTAACTAGTTTGAGTTCGAAAGGATTCATGAGTTTGATCGCACATGCAGGTTATTCGTTAAACTGAAGCCTTAGGTACAGACCTGTGCACTGTGCAGTAGTGCTGGCTTCCTCTCGCTAACAGCAACGAGCTGGTTTCGCACGCACACATTAGCCTGCGCCCGCTGGAGGTTCTGGATTTTCACGCCCTGCTGGGGGGGGGGGGGGGGAGGTGTTTGAGCACCTTCCCCCCCCCCATTCTAACTCGGCTCCTGGTTCACGTAGCAATACGCGCCGCGGAAGGCGGCGTTCGAAAGAGCGTCCAAAATTGTGACGACATCACTTGGGTCACTTTTTTGATCAGGTCAAAGGTCAGGTCACCAGAGGTCATTGAAAACAAAAGTTCGCCGATTTTCAGGTCGCATGTCGACAATTTACAAGATGCCAACGCATAACTAGGGAGCTAATAGAGCTACAGAGCCGTGGAAAAGCGCATTCGATAGCCCTATTAAAGGAAAAGGGCCACCTTTAACATGGGGATTGAAACTGAGATAGCCATCTTGTAGCCCGTGTCCGAAAACCTATCTGTCTACCTCCTTACGGCCGATTTCGGCCTCCATTCGTAGTTTTTTTTTTTTTAATAAATTTAGTCCGAACGGCTGAATGGGTGGATTTGAGGAATCAGAGCCCGCACTAAGCATAGCTTGTTGTGCTGACCCTGATCCCACCACCCGATCGCGCAATTCCAGTTGTATGGCAGAATTTTGTCCGAACGTTTAACGTGCCCTAACGTCTGGACACGGTCCTCTCCGCTCACTCACGTTACCTGGCTTCTGTGCGGCCCCTGCCACAGACACGCACGCCATTACACGTAGGAGCTAAATGTGGCCGCCCGCACCGCGGCTTGAACCGGGCTCTCACTTCCGGCTAAGCGTCGAACTCCGGCGCTTTTATCCACTCGGCCACGGAGAGGACACGGAGTCAAGTAGTTATCGGCAATTTTAAAAGAAAATACGCCAGGAATGCGTCCTTATCCCAGGAATGCGTTCTTATCCGACAATACAGCCACCCGCGGCGAGGCTTTGGTTTTTTACCAATCAGCTCCAACCAGCTCAGCTTTAACCAATCAGCTTATCTGACACAATCCGACGAGTCTGTCTTCTGAACGCTGATTGGCTTGAGTGTGACGTCATCGCTATGCCGTCATACAGTAGGTGCCGTAGAGAGTATCAACATAGTACCAATATGTTAAATAGTTTTAAATACTTTTTAGCGAATTGTGCACTTCTGGCACCAGTTTTAAAAAGAAAATGAAAAATAATAATGTCAAAATGAAAAACAACGATATCTTCATATTTCACGAAGGTGGCCCTTTTCCTTTCACGCGTTTTGTGACTAATTATCTCAGACCTGACCTAACGTTTACGGTTTTGTCTGCAGCAGGTGGCCGAAACTGCCGTAAAAACCGATTTTTGGAACAGGTTTTCTGCAATAACTTTTGACTTAAGCCTTGCACGAGCTTACTTTTACCGGCATCGTGTTCCTCTCGTCAAGCCTCATCAAATGAACTAAAATTTGACTTTGAAAGGTCAACTTGAAAATTTGACCTCGGGTCACAGTCATGAGTCATGACATGACCGCAAAGGGTCATACTGCATATCAGTCGATCCGTATCGTCGAGCTGACCATATCTAAAGCGCGTGAAGGTATCTAAGGTGTCTGAACGGTGAACACCCCCCCCCCCATCCCCCACCCCCGTCTTACTCGGCTCCTGGGCCACGTAGCGAGACGCGGTAAGCGGCAATCGAAAGAGCGCCAGAAAATGACGGAAATACACCGGTCATTTTTTAGGTCAGGTTAAAGGTCAGGTCATCAGAGGTCACCAAAGGCCAAATTTTGTACGTTCCAAGTTTCAACAATTTTCGAAACACCCAACACCTAACTCGGGAACCAATAGAACTAGTGCGTCACGGAAAAGCGCATTCGATCAGGGTATATTGAGTGAAGGGTAGGACGAACTTTGGTAGGAATTTCTAGTATATCTACTAGAAAACCTACTATATGTGGTCGGGACTAGTAAAAAGTTAGTTCAAACTAGAATATGGTAACGCTTATGGTTGGCAGTTGTGACGCGCACGTGACATTCATTTCTTAAATTTCTAAATTAACAGGTTTTAGGGGCCGATTAGTGGGCAGATATATTCAATTAGCTATTAATAATTGATTATGCAAACATTCAAGAATCTACATCATTCAATTCTAGCCAAAATCACGCGGCGCTCCCAGGATTCGAACTCACGACGATCCGTAGCCCGATACGCTACCGACTGCGCTACCGAGGACCGCGCGCCGACGATCAGAGAGGCGGATCGCGGGTGCTGGCGTGCAGAGAAATCTTTACCCTGTACGCCGTAGAAGATCGGCTGGGTTTCGTGAAAAATGGTAGAGGAATTGTCGAAAGAAAATTCATCGATCTATCATTTGAGACTAAGAACCATTGATTCCTTCAAAGGTTGACCGAGATATCGCTCGCTGAAAACAGGCCATTTAACATGTAAACCCTATGGGCTGGTAGGAAATGTACGCCGTGGAGCAGCAGTGCTACCAACTAACTTCGGCGGGGGCCGCATTCGATAGCCCTTTCACAGACCTTTCTGGGCATTGCTCTCAGACCTCAAGTCAAGGGTTAAGCCTCTAGAGAGAAAACAAACTCCAAAATTAGCCGTTTTTATGAAAAACGTTTTTCTACAAAACCTTTGACTCAAGAAAGTGACTACATATATTTTGCCAGCATCGTGTTTCTCTCAAGACGCGTAGAATGACCTGTAATTTGACCTCAGGTCAAGGTCATGACCTGACCGGAAAAGGTCATGCGCAATCAATCAGTCGATCCGTATCGTCGAGCTGAACATATCTGAGGTGTTTTCATCAATCATCGCTCTAGCATGTCTCCATCAAAAGTTGTCAAAAAATTGCTCGGGACTTTTCATGACCTGGTATGGCCTCGTGGACATAAGGAGAGGTCACGGGTGTCATTTTTCGGTTCAGACTTCAGCTTGTCAAGTTTACGGAGTCACACAATCTATATTACTATTTGAGGAGGGTGCGTCTGTCCGTTACCGAGGTCCCGACTTGGTGGTGCTTTGCGTGGACTACAGGCCAGACCGTTGCACCTAGCGCCCTGAAATTTGCACAACTTATAGATCAAGGATGCGCGACGTGCCTTTGAGGGGTCTCAACTCGATCGGATTGATAGGGAGCGCGTGGCGCGTACCCAAAAAGTGCAAAATCACGTCATGCACCACCCGCCTCATCAGCTCACGCTATTTCTGGCGTGACATGCGCCGCGACATTGCTCGATGGGTGAAGGAGTGTGAAGCATGCCAGGAAGCCAAGGTGCACAGGCACACTCGTTCTCGGCCCGGTCGGTTTGATGTGCCCTCACAGCGGTTCGAAACTGTACATATAGACATAGTCGGGCCGCTGCCCCCGTCAGTACCCCACGGGCACCCCTTCACTGCGCCATTTCGTTATTTGTTGACATGCATCGATCGCGCCACGCGTTGGGTCGAGGCCGTGCCGTTGGTCTCGATCACCGCGGAAAGTGTAGCCTCTGCTTTCCTCGACACTTGGGTGTCCAGATTCGGAGTTCCGCTGCATGTTGTCACGGACCGCGGTTCCCAATTCGAATCAGAACTGTTTTCACACTTGTCTTCAATGATAGGTTTCCATCGCCTCCGAACCACTGCTTATCATCCGACATGTAATGGGATGGTGGAAAGAGTCCACCGACCGCTCAAAGCTGCCATCCGGGCGCGCAAGCAAGAGTGGCTGCGCGCGCTACCCGTCGTTTTGCTAGGTTTGAGAGCCATGCCAGCAGAGTCGGGTTTTTCGGCATTCACTGCCGTCACAGGCGCGCAGGTGCTGTTTCCCCGCTGCGCCGTCGAGAAGGTCCCCGTCGGGACAAAGTACGTCCAAGAACTGGCAAAGCGTATGTCAGAAATCGATTTCGTCACACTCTCACAGGGCTCGAACCACGCCCGCACACCACCGACGCACGTGCCACCCGATCTCATGACATGCACACACGTGTGGGTACGCGTTGACCGCGTGCGGCACTCTCTGGAGTCCCCGTACCGCGGCCCCATGCGAGTCATCAGACGCAGCCCTAAAGTGTTCACGTTGGAGCTGCCGACTGGCGCCCACGACACTGTAAGCGTCGACAGACTCAAACCGGCACACATGCCGCCACCTGCGGACACGCTTGGTCCGAGTAGTACCGAGCCTACGGCTCCGGAGCAGCAGCCGTCACCGTCGACCTCGCTCGGGCCCCTCGCCACTGGGGCGCCCGACGAGCCGACACAGACGCCGACGACTACAAGACCGTCCAGCAAGAGGACTTCAAAACCTGGAGTGACGTCTTCCGCATCGCCGGCCAAGGACGACAAGCCTTCCGCGGCTGCGCCGGTGCACACCCGCAGCGGCCGCCGCGTGCAGTTCCGGCCGCAACCGGACTTCCGATACTTTTAAGTGCGCCCGCGTACGTGCGTTCGGGGACGATCCTGATCGCGTGGCGCCGACAGTGAAGTGATAACTGCGTCGCGCGGTGTAGTGATTCTTGCGTCGCGCAGGACCGTGCAGTGACGATTGCGTTGCGCCGTACCGTGTAGTGATTATTGCGTCGCGCAGTGAAGTGTCGATCACGTCGCGCACCGAGTGATGTGAAAAGTGATTGTTTTGGCTTATCGTGTATGCGCTCCGCGCTGAGGCGGTGAGTACTGTGGTAACCACGTGTGTCGCCGGCCGGCACGGGAGTTCCCGGCGCAGACCGATTCGCGCGCCGACTTGTGACGTCGCTACCCCGCCCCGGCGCTGGGGGGGCGGCCCAGGACGTGTCTGTTCGTGAACTTTGTCCCATCACGATGCGACCGCGTGCTGCGGCCTGCGCTGCCGCAGTGCGTCGGCCAGTGACCAATCCGCGCTCCGATCGGCAGCCACGTGGTGTCCGAGTGTTTCTGCGCATGTCTGGGGCCCAGCCCGCTGCGTCGGGCCGCGCGCTCCGCTCCCCCGACTTCTGGCCGAGCTCTTGGCCCGAGCAGACGCGTCACGTCTGGCTCCGCGATTTGGCCCGTTCTGTCCGGGATTTATAACTTAGATTAGGCAGGGCATATTTGGCAAACTTGGATTCCATTCCTCTCGTCTCTTCGTCGCTCCATTGTCTGATTCGCTGTTTTGGTTTTTGACTTCGTTTTGGTAATTAAAATATAACAACCCGCTCCTTAAATTAATTCTTTTACTTGGGGCCGTTTGGATCGAACTGATTGAATTTTTAGAACACGCACCAGGTTGATATTTTCCATTTCTGATTAACGTAAAATCCAGTCACTAATATGTGGTGAACAGCCCCACAGCACCACAACTTTACGTGTATAAATCGGCGTGCGAAATCGGGCGAAAACGGCTAATTTTGGCCGACACGGGTCCAGTTCCCGTGCAATATCTTGGTGACCAGGGGTCCGACCGGCACGGGGAAAACAGCATCGTGTACAGAATTGAACGGGCTATTGAATGGTGTGCAATGCAGAGGATAGCACGCGCCACGTGCACCGGAGAGGGCACTTTTATTTGAAAAATTGCGATTTTTGAGGGATTTTGGAATTTATTTTATTTTTAGGTGACCGTTAAATGGAGCGAGTTGAAACAACGCATATTTGCAAGAGAAATGTACCGCCTCTCATATAAAAATTGTGAAAAGCTGATTGATCCGAATCAAGGTGGTGCAAATCACAGGAAAAATGGTGTTTGTCAATGATGTGCCACTTTATTAATTACAAGGGTTTTGCTTAATAGCCTGATACCTTTGGCAATTGAATATGGTACCATTGGATAGAGCATTCAATTCTGTCCAATATTCACTCTTAATTTTTGCATAATGAGCAACAGTATTCTTAAAAATGTAAATGTTCCAAACCATTGCATTGTCATTTTTAGCGAAATTCATCGATGGCCCTCAAAAGACTTCATGCCAGTTTTCGAATCATTCTTAAGCAGAACGCATGATAATACGACACGGGCACCTCGATGCGATGTATCTTTTTTGTTTTATTACAAAATGCTTGGCCGTCAAAGAGCAATCGAACGAAATGGATACCAACCAAATCGACACAGACCAATCCCACGGGTCAAAAACAACCCTTCTTCGCGTTGCGGAGCACGCGGGTAACCCTAGTACTCACTATTCAGACTTCAAAGTACCTACACTATATGCTGCCTTCAGCCAGCCGTGTTCTTTCCTGGCAGCGGGCTTACAACCAGCGTTGTGTAATTTGGTCAGGTCACAGACAGTCACAGACAGTTTGAGGAACTGGGTCAATGGGGTCATCTAACAGGCAAAAGACGACAGTTTGAGTTGACACGAGTCGACCAGCATTCACTCCACACACAGCAGACGGAAAACTCACCGAGTTCTGATCCGCTCCCCGCCTCCTAGCCCACCGGCCGCCGCTCGTTCTCACACTTCTCACGGTCCGCTCTTTCCCTCACACCGCCCCGCCTCTCACTCTCACACTGCCGCCGTCCACTCCGCACCGCGCACGCTGCGCGGCCCACCGGCGCAACTCCGTCTGGTGGCGCCACCTGGCGCTCCCGCCACGTGCCGACCTGCCCGCGCCGAGACCCACACCGCCGCCGACAGGGGCTGTCGCAGCCGCCACGCGTGTCGCACGGACACTTCCGCTGCGCTGGGGTTCTCAGTTGCGACCGGCCCCACACAGCTGGAGCCGGACCGCTCGCCGCCGACAGCCCGCCTGTCTGCGCCTGCGCAGTGCCGCCGCTCACGCCATCGATTACCCCGCGGTGACGTAACGCGCACCATGGTCACGTGACCTCTGACTGGCGGACCGCCGCGCCCGCGGCCGTTCGGCGAATGGCTGGCTCGAGCGCCGGGGCGGGGCCAGGCGGCGGCTACACGTGACTGGCTGGCACCTGGCGCCCGACGGAGGCCGGAGGGGAAGGGGGGGGGGGTGTTGAGGGGGTCAAGGGCGGCCGATGTATCTGATAAAGGTGGGGTCGTGGGGGCCAATAACAGCAGCGGGTCACGCGGTGGGTACCACGGATATGACCGGTGGGGATGCCGGATGATGCTATCTGTCTAGTCGAGTGTCGGTCGGAAAGGGGTGAAGCGGCCAGAGTTCAGTTCCACCCCCGATTGTCAGAACCGGGACGGACCTAAACATAAATGTCTGTCCATCCCCGCCTGCACCGAAGATAGTCGAGGTGGCGAGCATAGGCGGCGGAACGGGGAGGGCTAGGGCACCGGGGCACCGTGCCCCCCTTTGATTTTGGCATTTTAACTTCATTAGCCCTATGGGCGTTGCATGGAAAGAATGGGACCAAAAGTCGGCAGTGCCCCCACTTAATTGAACGTGTTCCGCCGCTACTGGTGGCGAGAAGTCAACTAATCAGGCACCGGCGTTTTAACAATGACGCTGACGCCGACGATCACGTACGCGCATATTACGTAACCGGAGTACCTACACCAGTTGATCTGCGGCGCCGATTATTAATCGCTCCACGCATTATGTTCCATTTGGTTATTTTACCTCGGGTAAGCGACCCTCTATCGTTAAATAAACTTAAGTAATCCCAGTTCGGCAGACAGCCCACATTTTCGGCTGCAGCGTCACATTTAATCCGTGTGCAACTGAAGATAACACCGACGGGTCTATAAAGGCCACCGCCGAACACACATGCGAGATGGCGGCGAATGACGATATTAGCTGCATTTACAATCGGGTTAAAATAAGGCGTTCCTTTCATACGAGTAGCTCAATGAATCCCAATCCAGATGACTGATCAGGCATTATCAACAGGAAACACACGCGTCATCAATAGCATTTATTGTCACAATATAACAATACGCGAGCATAGCACGGTAATAAAATACATCCACGATTAATCGATGAGCAATGCAAGTCAGATCACACACACTCAATCGTGGGCGAGCAATGCAGTAACAGGCGAGACATGCGCGACACAAGACCCCTCACGCGATAACACAGCACGACAGGACACTCGGCGCGGCCTGACCCTAGGCACGACCGGTGCCCTCCCAGTCCGTTTGTACTGCGACGGCACACCGGCCGCCGTGGCACCACATCACACAAGTCTGTAGATCCGCGGTCCGCTCAGCCGCTCACACGTACTCGTCCCGCACGCGGCCGCGCTGCGGCTCACTGCGGCCGCGAGGCGAGTCGCCGCCGCCGCCGCCGTTGCGCGGCAGGTGAAGGAAGTGGCACGTTACACCTTTACGGCAGAAGCCGGACAGGTGGTGCTTGCAGGGGGTCTCGTGTCGCGGCCGGCGGTCGTCGCTGCCCCGCCAGCCGCCGCGGCCGCCGCCCCGGTACCCGCCGCCGCCGCCACCTCCGCCGCCGTACGGGGGCCGCGGCCCGGGCCCGGACATCATACTCATGCCGCCCGGACCGCCCATCATGCCGGTCGGACCGGACATCATACCGCCGGGGCCCATGGGCGGCGTGATGGGCCCCCAGCCGCCGCCGGGAGGGCCCATGGGCCGCGGCGGCACGCCGTACCCACTCGGGCCGTGCATGCCCATCGGGGCGCCCATCATATCCGGGGGCATCATGGGGTCCATGCCGGGCTGCATGGGGCCGGAAGGACCCTGCCGGAACACAGAGAGGACGCGGTTAGTTAGATAGCCGACACAACATATACGGGGAAGAACACAGCTATGCTTCACTGCAACACGCAACATACGGTCGATCTGTGAGAGTATTTGAATACAATTTGTACTTCTTGACAAATTCATTAAAAAAGGTAATTGAGTATTGCTACATCAAGTACATGGCAGCCATTTCCACGCCACGTTATCTATCATTGTAAGTCAAGACCAGAATTCCCATCGCCGTTACTGAGATTGTTAGCGAGTCTGACGACCTCTATCATGCCGCAGCAGCGCCGTCTGCCGCCGTTTACCATCCCCGCTCCCCACTTACCCAGGAGTTGGGCGGCGGCATCATCCCGGGTCCCATCATCTGTGGCGGCATCTGGCCGGGCGGTCCGCCGGGACCTCCCATCGGCGCCGGCAGCATGGCGGCGCGCGGCTCTGGTCGCGGCTCGGGCCACCCGTCTGCCGAGTGGTCTTTGACCGTGGCGCCGCCCTGGTCGTCGTCCAGCGGCACGGGTCGGCACGGCGTCCGCTCGTGGTGCAGCTCCGGCTCCGGCTCCGACGGCGTGTCCGGCAGCCTGGCGGCGGGGGCGGAACGGGAGCGGTCAGTGGCAGCAGACAGAGAGACAGCAGGGAGCAGCGGTCACTGTCAGACGGGGAGCGGTCAGTGGCAGCAGACAGAGAGACAGCAGGGAGCAGCGGTCACTGTCAGACGGGGAGCGGTCAGTGGCAGCAGACAGAGAGACAGCAGGGACAGCGGTCACTGTCAGACGGGGAGCGGTCAGTGGCAGCAGACAGAGAGACAGCAAGGAACAGCGGTCACTGTCAGACGGGGAGCGGTCAGTGGCAGCAGACAGAGAGACAGCAGGGAGCAGCGGTCACTGTCAGACGGGGAGCGGTCAGTGGCAGCAGACAGAGAGACAGCAGGGACAGCGGTCACTGTCAGACGGGGAGCGGTCAGTGGCAGCAGACAGAGAGACAGCAAGGAACAGCGGTCACTGTCAGACGGGGAGCGGTCAGTGGCAGCAGACAGAGAGACAGCAAGGAACAGCGGTCACTGTCAGACGGGGAGCGGTCAGTGGCAGCAGACAGAGAGACAGCAGGGAGCAGCGGTCACTATCAGACGGGGAGCGGTCGGTGTCGGACGAAGAGACGGAGCAGAGGGCTCAGTGGCGGGCGGAAGCGGTTAGTCACAACAGTTCGCGAGCAGACAGGGAGCGGCCAATCCCAGACAGGGAGGGGCCAGTCTCAGTGCCTAGCACCATAGCGACAGGCCGGGATAGGGGCACGGCGGTCACACGTGCATCCCATTCGACCGGCCGGGGCGCACCCCAAGCGACTGGTTGCATAGTGCATAGTGCATGTCATCCGGAAATGACGGAGAACCGAAATACGAGTAAACACAGATCGTCTTACATGAACAGGGCGTTGGAACCCAGCAAAATGTCAAATCACTGACGACATATCGCTCGGATACAAGCCGCAATTTGGATTCACGAGGCCCAATGATGGATTGGATATACACAATGAGCAGCGACAGTGCCAGTGCAGCGGAACCGTTTACAGTACCTAAGGGCAAGCGGGCAAATGGGCAAGCATGGCGTACCTACACTTGCACTTTACCACGAGTGCAAGTTTTTGTAGGGTAGGGGCTATCAAAGGTTTAGATGAAGTTCAATACCTCTAAGGTAATCGTTGGTGATAAATGTATGCCCCCACTGAAATACGCAGTCCAATTAGACTCCACTCACCCCACATATCCCAAAATTACTAGGCAGTCCCCGTCACGCGACCGACCGGTGCCTTTTTTCTCACACACAAACTCACATGTTGGGGTTGAAGAAGGCCGGCAGCGAGGAGCGCTCGCGCTCCTCCTGTATGGCCCGCTCCTGGCTGCGCGCGCCGGGGGCCGCCAGCGGCGGCGGCTTGTCCACCACAATCAGCATCTGCCAGGCCATCTGTTCGGCCATGCCGTCGTCCCGCGAGCCGCGCGCGCGCCGCAGGAACTCCCGCTCGCGCATCTTCTCCATGGCCTGCATTTCCATGAACTTGGCGCGGTTCACGTTCACTGAGGACCCGGGAGGATCGGTCAGATGGCGGCGGAGGCGGGTGGCTGCTGACATCAGCCGTCAGCTGCTCTGAGACAGCACCATTCTCTAAAACACGCTTTTATGATTGCTGAGCTGAGAACCCAAGCTATTTCATCGTTACTACCCAACCCATGTAGTCAACAAATCAGCAAACCCGACCCGGGAATCAAATAACCACCAACCGGTCGATAAATGACCCATGAGCACGTGCGACCTCTCTGTCCTCCTCGCCACTCTCTATGCCTTCCTCGGTCTTCTCCCTTTTTGTCCCTCTCGCTCCCATCTCCATCCCTTCCAACTCACCCCGCTCGTTCTCGTCCAGGTCGAAGTAGCTGACATCGACCAGCTGGTTGTCGGGCCGCCAGCGGACCGACAGTTTGCGTCTCGCCGCCGGCCGGTGGTAGACGAGCACACCGCGCGGCTGGCCCGGCTCGCGCGGCGGCGAGGCGCGCGGCTCGGGCTCGGCCTCCGACGGGCGCCGCTCCAGCGGGATGGTCGGAGGGGTCGGCGCTGGCGACACGACACGGCGGGAGCGGACACGGTCAGACAGGGCAGGTGGCACTGGCGGCGGCACGGCGCAGACGACCGATAACAGGTTTACTCGAGAACGCACTTTAGCGAGGAAGCCGGTGTAAAAATGTAATGTAATGTAATGTGATGTGATGTGATGTGATGTGAAGTTATGTAAAAAATGACGCATTTCGACTCATTAGCGAAATATCAGATCCAGTAGAAATATACATCCGTAGCGTATGATATATTTCGTTCAATGCAAACCCATTTAATGTACGAGTACACCGATTCCTTACCAAGTAGATTAATTGCAATATTTGGACAATGGACATGGTCAGCTCACCTCGCTCCTCTTCATCCGGTTCGCTCGGCTCCTTTCCAGCGTCTTTGGCTGGCGACTGTTCGCCCTCGGCCTTCTCAGCGTCAGCGTCGGGCTTCTTTTCCTCCTCTTCCTTCTCTTTCTTATCCTCCTCTTCCTGGTCCTGCTGTGTGTCTTGGTAAAACTGCAGGAAGTAATAACGCAGTTAATGGAGTGAAAGGAACAACGCGGTGGAGATGTGAGACAATATACGTTCTGGGTTACGTAACCTGCTCGAGATAAGCTACCTTTATTAGAAGCCTTCTTCGCTGAGCGTACACGAGGCGGAAATATGTAATTCGTTACATAACCTCGACACAAGCGATCAGCACATACCCTGTCAGACACCACTGATCCTCCCATATAAAGTGAAACAAAGTCAATCTTCCCGCTCTCCCTGTCTCGAGCCGCCGCCCCCGCACCTTGAGCAGCGGCTTGGCGGCCACGGGAGAGGTGGCCGCCGGCGGCGTGGTCGGCGTCGTCTCCCCCTTCTTCTCCTCCTTGGAGTCCTCTCGCGAGGAGAGCCGCCGCGTCCGCTTCGGTACCTTCCGCTTGACATCCGTGCTGGCGTTCAGGGCGTCCATGAAACCAGAGGCCTCCTGCAGGTGCAGCGCTGAAAAGACAGAGATGTGGGGGGTCATTGCACTGTGCGCAGTGTGCGCAGGGCCTGGGAGTGCACAACGACCATGGACCAAACGTAATTGACAAGGGCGCTACAAGCAACTGCAAGGTAAGTTGATGCGAAAAAATGACGTTTAGAATGTTAAATTGAGTGAATATCATGAGAACAAACGAGGTACTTTTCACGACTTCTTATATAATCGACCTACTAATCCCCATTCATACCTAATTTGCCAGACCGCCACTCGCTCGCACATACACATCCGCACGTCGCACAGCATTCACACGCACGCGCTCGAATAATGGGATAGTCTGCTGCGTTAGTCGAAACAACGGCTACTTTCCTGCCTAGCATGTCAATCTGGATTGATCAATCTTGTAAATTCATTACCAAGCGATACGCATGTCAGGGAACACATGTCGCTCGTCTTTTTTTTTCAAGGCTGGCGCGCAGCCGGCAGAATGAAGAGAAAACTTTCCAGATTCCATGGTAACATGCACACTTCACCAAGTCACGTAAGTTTTATTTAGCAGGTCCGAAATCGTCATTAACTCGCGCATGACTGGGGGGAGCTTTACAGAGCTCCGACCGTTTTTCGGCAATATCTTCTAAGCCGTTTGACGGATCAACACGAAACTTGCGGTACCCTCAGCGGCATTAATTTGACACCTTATGTCCAAGTTTCAACTTTCTAGCTATCATAGTTTGGCCAAAAATGACGTCAGAGTATACTCGTGTATGCGGCACGAGTATACTGCAAATACACGTAGCTATCAAACTGCCATCTCGAATTTTCGAAATTTTGAAAAATATGTATTTACAACCACAAAAAATACATTTTTTATTTCTTTCAAAAGTTTTTAATTTTCCGCAAAAACCGGAACATATGTGATAGAACACACACTGATAAACTACTCAACAAGTTTAAGCAGGGGTGTCGTTTTCCGAAAATGATTGGTAGTGCCCAAAGGCGGCGGCTGGCCATATATGACGGGGCTTACAAGGTAGGGCACCCCCAAATCTGCCTTTCTCATCGGATTTCGGCCACTTATTTTTTGCCCTGGTCATTGACAAGACTAACCGAAATCTAAAAAAACACAAAAAAAAACTTTGGAAATCTGGGTCCACACCGGACGCCATGCACAAAACGTGCAGTTATATAGGCAATAGTGTCGGAGGAATGCACGCCATTCTGAAAGAGGCCCACATCGACTTAAAAGGACGGCTGTGCTGAAAGGGGACAGGAACAGCTTTGAGGGCCCAAGCCGACTAAAAAAGACGGCTGCGGGGCCAGGAACGGTTTTGAAGACCCACGCCAATTGAAGGGTTCGACAACTAACGAGGACTGGAAACACAACGATAGTTAGAAAGACCTGCTTGCCAAAATAAACGGATGACAGGACGAGGGGCGTTCAGAAAGCTACGGGCCCGACCATGAAGGAGCAGAGAGATACAGCATCGACTCATTAGACCAAAAAGTTCATTTATTCAAATAAACACCGTTAAGACAAACACATTTCGCGCAGCGCTTCGCGAGAGCCCTCAAGGCCTCCATAACCAAGTGGGTTTTGGACCCATCCTGCACGTCCAAGACGGCTGATTTCGTCTCCCTGCTGTTAGCGAGGTTGCCGCTGCTAATTTTCTTATGTTGGGGAAGAGGTGGCAACCACTAACCAGAGTGTGCAAGGTTCGGAGAGAAAAAAGTGGATGCGACAGCTCGAAGCTCATCGCTTCACTGTTCGTCATCCCGCCCATGTACGCAGGTGCGTGGTCACGGATCAGGTGCACACTTTACGTCAGCTTCCCTATAGCCTCTCCTCGATGTTTATCGAATGGACGCACATCATCAATTGTGTGCCCCTGTTTTGGAAAGTTGACGAGCGGAGGGGGGTCGCATCGACCCCTCCCCCTGCCAGGCCGTGTTATGAAAAATGCCCAGGGCGAGGGTTAACGCTTGGTGCCTTTTCTGCACTAACTACTATGAAACGAATCACTGCTCTCTTCTGGGCGTCGCCCATCCTATCCGAAATGGCGAACTATGCTACGAATAGAAGCCCGAATCAATCACAGAAGAGACTTAATTAATGGCCACTTACTTAATTTGCGTAAGTGGACATCCCAATAACACATCATTTAACACACCGCCTTGCAGGCCAAAATTCCAACTCCTTCATTGTTCGGCCCGAAACTTTTTGAACGCCCCTCGTAGTTACGAGCTTCAGTTTTCGGGGTCTGATGCGGTAATGACCTGGCGTTGAACCCTGGGGAATCAGGCTGCATCACCCACTCAAATCAATATACCTATGGCCTATTCTGGAGCACCGCGGCACCTTCCGAAGTCGGTGTAGGGCCTCCAGCGGCTGGTGTGGAGACGGATCGGGGTCTATTAGGGGCGGTCGCGTGGTATGCGGGACTCAGAGGCAGTTATGGACCTCTATAACCAACTGCGTTTTCGAGCCTCTTAAAATCCATTAAGGACCGGAGTCCTAGACACGTGAAACCTCATTGTCAGCTATATGCACCTACTGTGGCTAGAACCTTATTTATGTACTTGCATATGTGCTTATTTAATATTTGCTTATCTGTTTATTTTGATTTTTTATCAACTGATAAGTGACAAAAGATTGGTAGGGCTCAACGAACATTGGTAGGGCCCAAATAAACATTGGTAAGGCTCGGGCCCTACCAGGCCTAAACAAAACGACACCCCTGAGTTTAAGCCCAAACTCTTAAAAATGGCCAAGTTATTTGCATTATTATAAAAAAATATAATACATAGGTATTTTTCAAAACCATTTTTCAGCACGTTTTTGACATCGTACAGCACTATGACTAGGACCATCGTGTTACTGAGCTCAAACTGCATCTGATAGGCACATTTTTTGTTAAATATTTTTTTTATTTTCAAAATTTGACCAAGTTTCTGACCTGAAAGTGACCTGACCTCCGGTAAATTTACCTCAACATGACCTCAAATGACACAGACATTATTTCGAAATCTATGGGTAAAATGGACCATAAAACATGCGTCACGTGACCGATACACGATATAAAATTTCGTGACCTAGGATGACCTGACCTTGACTTGAAAAAAAATATTCGAAGTACGAGTTCGGAACACTAAGTATCTGAGGCATACATCAAGGAGTGCGCAAACAGAAAATGAACCTGATCAGACTTGCAAGCCGGCGGCCAGAGCCAAAATTGTGAACAAGCCAAAACGTTGATAATTTTTACTTTGACCTGACCTGTGACGTCATTAGTGACCTCGAGATCAATGAAATTAGTGTTCGCTCGACAGTTTTCCCAGGGCTATCAGATGCCGTTTGAATTTTGAATATCAGCTCAGTAGTTTCGGAGATAGGAGGGGGCTCTGTAGAGCCCCCCGCCCCTGCAGTCACTCGCGTTATGGAAAATACCCGAGTCATGCGCGGGTTAACCCTCGCCGGCACAGGGAGATGTAGCCTCCCCTAATGTTTTTCGCGAATAACTCGCGTAAAAAGCGGCCGATCGCGACGAAACTTTCAGTACCCTCGCATTCATCAATTTTACACTTGCCCTGAAAATTTCATGACCCTGACCCAATGACCTATGACCTGTGACCATGTCATAAGCCAATGACCTGTGACCTGTGACCTACTTTCCGAGACCATGTTTGGCCGAAATCGCGACTCGGCGTATGTCGGCTCGCATCAGCCGCGCGTTTGAAGCTTTTCGTGGTTTCAAACGTTCAAGGATGTGATTATGTTGCTCCCATGCATAAGGGTGGATGTCAAGGTCATCCGAAGGTCAGGTCAGGTCATTAACCTTCGGTGACCTCGGTTCACTCTTTCGAGTTTTACATGTTTCTAAGCTAGTTTTTGGAGCTGAATTCGAATTTAGCAACCATTTGAACATTTACGAAGTAGTTTTGGTGCCTTTGTAACATGTTACGAACCTGTCAGAGGCGGTTGACACGTGCTACAAATGCCCGTAACGACCCCTACTGGTTGACCTGACCTGACCCGACCTGGTCTTAATGCTTAAAGACATCATCTGTGTTAAAAACTAACACGATATTCGTGATCAGCACCCTGAAAAGCCCCATAGCAGCCACACTTTACGACTTTCTAACAGGTCCCGATTTTCCCGACTTTTCGGTGATTGACCTGACCTGGAAGGTCAACCGATGACCTTATTTCAAAGATACCTAGCGCCTTTGCATGGGCTGTTCGGGCCGCATAGGCGCGGGAGCCGGGGGGGCAGTGGGGGCAGCTTGCCCCCCCCCAACTCTGGGGCCGTGGGGGCGGTGCCCCCACAGCTTTGAAACGGAATACCACACTTTTTTTGCAAATGTTTTCTTTTTTTGTTGAAAAAGCCGAGGGGTGAAAAATAAGTGGCCTAAAACCGGTGAGAAAACTAGATTTGGGGGTAACCTAGGTTAATCTCTATTATGGTGTGCCCCCCCAGTCGGAAAGTAGTTCCCGCGCCCCTGGTTCGGGGAGCTCAATCTACTGAATTAGCTAGCTGGTAATGACACCGGTACGCTTGGAATGAGATCAAATGTAAAAGATAAAACACCACCTTCTCCGATTGACCGCCTCACCCGACCGACCGGCGTCGACTCGACCCACACTTGTCGACGCCCAGATCAATCTTCCTACAATTGACGCGGCTGATGGCATGCGTGACTAACAGTGCGGTATACCCGATCGCAGCCCCAGGACCAGCCTTGGGGACTTTGACCTGACCTTTGAGACCACCAGTTGACCCAAGACTTAGACAGTTGGGTAGGACCCAACTGGGTACCTACCCCCAACCGCTGCGTCTCATAACGTTGCACACACTTGCTTTCCTATGAAGCTCTTAGCTCAATTAGATGTGAGACGTCGAAGGGCTGCACCTCCCCTCGGCCGGAACTTATGTAGAAAACTGATAGGTATGGCGAGGGGTTCCTCGCCATACCCATCGGTTTTCTACACACAGAGAGGGAGTAGGGTTGGTCTCGCCTT